ACATAACTGCTGACAGTCTCCAAATCCTTCCCTTCAGTCTTCCAAAAGGTCAGGAAAGACCTTCAAAGGCTTTTTGCAATCACTCCAGATCTAGAGAAGTACCCAGTAGCTGGTGCAGTTTTCTTCCTAGCTTAGAGTGGGCAGTGATGATGCCCCTCACAGCCCTCCTGCCTAACTATGGGAGCTCTCCCGAGAGCCCCTAAGGACCTAACAGCCCATGGAAAGGCCCATTTCCAGGTTTCTCCTTGACTCATGTGTGTCTGTGTGGTGCACAGAGAAACTTCAAGGTAAGAAGACTCCAGACTTAGGAGGTGACACTCCTTCCTGGCAGCCTTTGCCCACACTGATAGTCTAACCAGAGGTTCTTTTCAGAGCTTCTTCACTCCCAAGTTTTCACACCCCAAATATGCCCATCAAGAGTGGTGACCAAAAGGAAGAGGCTTCTCTAGGATCCTTACCTAGTGTCTCCGGTGGTCTAGCCTCTCTACTATACCACTCTATCATTCCTGAGTAGACAGGGTCTCTTCTTGCCGTCCCTAGCTAAGGGCAGAGAAACATGGAGAGAGGACAAAGCACAAGTCTCCCAGTGCTCCCACCCATTTGATGGGCAAGCTGCTGCTCCAATAACCTGCTGTGGGTAATAGAGAAGCACAGAGTAGCCAGCAGCTAAGGCTATTCCCCATGCTACCCTGGAGCAAGGCATCTCCAAACAGATCAATCCAGGGAGGCTGGTGGGGCAACTTGTCTTGTGGGCAACATTCACGTTCACCTGATGCCTATGCAGCATCAGGAACTCCTCCAGCAGGCTGGGCTGCACATCTTTGGCTCTCAAAGAGCTGAGAAAGAGATACATTGGGACATGGATGAGCCTAACAGGGGGACTAACCCAAGATGCCCCACTGAACAGAGATGGGCCTTCACTCATCTCAGGGCTTAAGACCCACTGTGCTGAGCCTCCTTGAAGACTGTAGAGTTCCACTCAGATCCCATGCTCTTACTCTTCCTTAAGTCCAGACACTGATGACCAGCCTTGTACTGTGTCCCCAGCACTTTGCACTCCACAGCCCTCTCCATACCCTGCCACACAACAGAGCTCATATGGATCAACCTCCCCTAGGCCCTGGAGCTGTAGAGGATGGGGTGTGGCTGAGACATATTTTATGCACAGCACCCCTGGCATCAGAGCCACCACAGCGGTATTGATGTCTGTTGGTCATTCTTTGATTCAGGGTGTCCTGAACACTTGGGAAAAGGAAAGGATAACCACAAACACTGAGATTACACCACAGGAAGCAAGCAGGCCAAGTGGGTACCTACTCACTTCAAGCTGCTCTTTAGAGTGGCCACTGGAATTCTGGATTCATTCCTTCCATGGAAATGGGCAGCCTGGTGATTTGGCAAGCATGACTTCTTAAGGTTCTAGATATGACATGGTAAACAAATTTATGTGTTCCTAATTTATGTGTACCTATGTGAGGTACCTAGCCTCACACCTAGGAAGTAAGTTAAGACTGCTCTGTCCCATGTAAGCAAAAAGTTGCAGGCCAGTGTAGCCTCTCTTCGAAGGCCCCCCTGGTTCTTCTTAGTAATAGTCTTCAGTGAATGATTATGAGCTGAAGGAAGATCCATATAAAAAGGAAGCCTGGTGACTTTGGAGATACTTTGAATTGGGTATTGATTGAGCTCAAATAAATTTATCCTAATTGTCATTCACAGGATGATGTTTTAAATATGAGAGTAACTGTTAAAATGCCTTTTCTAAAAGTTTACATTTATATATATTCCAGCTATCGAAAACTGTCAGTCATAGGGCCACATAGTGAAGGAAGAAAACCCATTATTTATTTGCATACATTGCTGCAGAATCTTGGAGTACTCTTCCACATCCATATCACTTCCTGCAGGAAAAAGGGAGGCCAAAGACAACCCATTTCTTTAGTTTCTTTAAGCGAGGTCTAGTAACCTATGACATCATAGCAGTGTGACAAGTAATTCCTTTCTTGTGTGACCATAAAGTTTTCCTAAGTGAAAAAAGAGCTCGCCAATTCTGGATCACAAGAACTCAAGAGGGATAAGAGATGGCCAACTAAGAGTCCTGGGTCCAGAAATGCATTCAGGTAAAGCATGGTCATCACATGCCCTCCAGATTACCCAGAGCATGGCAGCTGGTGTGATTGCCAATGCCATAGGCCCTCTAAGCAACTTCTAGAGATAGACCTCAACCAACGTATCTTGCTAAAGGTTTGTGAGCTTTTCAGGGGTTAAGCTTGGCTTCTAAAAGACAAATCTGGGAATGTAATAGTACGGACATTAGTAATGCCAGCACAGCCTTTCACAAAGTGACAGTATTAATTACAGCACAAACCTGGCCTTCAGGTTCCCTTCCCCAGTGGCCTACCACATCTCCTAACTCCACACAAGAGAGCAAGGGAATAAGGATACTTGTCCACTTATGACACAAAAACAGTCAGCGACCAGCATTAGCTAAAGTCCCTGTCACCTCTGTAGTGACCATTGATCCTGTTCCTCTCATCCATGGGAGGAACATGGATCCATCCTCCAGTCATCCCAGGTACTCACTCAAAGGTAGATGTCCTGTTCTTAGTCCGTAGTTCTGTGTGCTTCTCAGCCAACAGCTTTCAAAGCTAGAAATTCCTTATCTTTAGAGCTCAAGGACCACACACATGCAGGTCACACAAGTGAGAATATAAACCACACATGCTTTAAAAGCTACTTCCTAAAATACAGGAAGAGCTTTAGAGTTGCAACGCAGAGATTAAGGCAAGAGACTAATTTTCCTGAGCTCATTTTGTTTCCTTATCAACCATTATCTTCCAGGTAGAGACAAAGTATTTGGGGAAAGCTTGAGACTATACTTTAGGTTTCTCAGCTTTATCTGAATCCCACGTGCCATAATGTACTGATATAGACTGGCATGGAGGCACACACAGCTTGCAAGCTCAGCACCTGGGAGACAAGAGATAGGAATAGTTCACCACCAGTCTGGGCTACATGAGTCCGTTTCCAAAATGGAAGGTGTGTGTGTTTAACTGTATTGCAGCTTGGATTTGTACATTTCATTTTAAATTTTCCCTTGCAAGAAAAATGCTGTGGGGGACTGGAGAGATGGCTCAGAGGTTAAAAGCACTGTCTGCTCTTCCAGAGGTCCTGAGTTCAATTCCCAGCAACCACATGGTGGCTAACAACCATCTATAATGAGATCTGGTGCACCAGCACACATTCAGGCAGAACATTGTATACATAATAAATAAATAAATCTAAAAAAAAAAAAAGAAAAGAAAAATGATGTGAACAAACATCAAAATAAGGTGCCAGCAAGACGGTTCAATGGAAAAGGGGGGAGGGTGGGACCGGGAGGGGAGGAGGGAGGGACTTATGGGGGGATACAAAATGAATAAAGTGTAATTAATAAAAGTTAAATAAAAAAAAAAAAAGACGGTTCAATGGGTAAAGGTGCTTGCTGCTTGATGACCTGAGTTCGATCCCTGGAGCCTAGCAAGGAATGAATGGGCTTGCCCACAATTGTCCTCCAACCTTCACACACAGGCCTTGGTGTACATCCCTATACATACAGTCTTTAAGAAGTGTTTACTACGTGGGATTTAGTTACTAGGGGGAGTACACTGGCTGTCTGCAACATAAAAATATAAGAATGAAGGTGTTAAGGCAGAGATCAAGAAGTACCAGCCTGGAGACAGCTGTGCAAGCTAGGCAATATATGACTGATAAACAGAGTTCTCCCACCTTTGTTAGCATCTGCAAATACTCACAAGGTTGGGGGACTGAATCCTAAGTCCAAGGTGGAACTACAAAAGTTCCTCTGTCCTTTCACTACCCAGGGGAGAGCAAAACTCTGCTTCTACTGCTTAGAGCAGACTCCACAGACTTGCTGCTACAAGAGAAACAAGGCACACACAGCAGAGAAGACAAGAACACACACAAGCTTGCTCAACAGGTGTTTTATTAAGGCTTGTATTCTCCTAGAGGACAGGTATCCGATGTTGTCCACGACTCCGTACAGGTAGTAACAGCTCGAGGAAGTGACACGTTCTAAATACAAGTCTAAATAATACAGCTTAAATGGTAACTCAGAGGGTCTTTTGGAGTAAATAGTTTCAGAAATATCTGCTCTCTAAGACAGTAAGGATCCTCTACAGTGGGCGCGTGCAGATTCAGTATGCGAGGGCGTCGGGCATGAGCACCACTTTCATGCTAAACTCCAACTCCAGGTGGCAGTGAGCTCCTCCGAGGCTCCTCATTCCACGGAACATGATAGCAAAGTGTTTTCTAAAGAATTTTTTTTTGTTTTTTTGTTTTTTTTACTTTTTCACCCATTCAACAGGAAAAAAAAATGAGACACACAGTGAAATTTACAGTCGGCAGCAGCATCCATCACACTGCCTGTACTATCAGATCCTACATTTAAAGCTTAGCGTTACTGATATAAAAACTTAAGACAGCATCAGGATTCTCAAAAGAGGGCAACTAAAAACGATCTGCGAACAACTAAGAATGTTGCAATGCTGAACCAGACTTAGAACACCTTCTCGTTCCTTGCCACAGCGCCTAACCTCATGCAGTGGCAGATGGTGGCAAGGAGAGCTGGAGCACCACTCTGCGTGGGCACTGAACTATGGACAGCTTCTCCAAAGACAGCTGTGCTCACACTTGAAAACTAAAAGTTAACTGCCTAGAAGGAAACTCAAAAGGGCAGGTAAGCATTCTGATGGATACCACAGATAGTAAAATGGCAAGCCACTTCAGTACTGTGAGAAGACATCAACAGCACATGCTGAATGGGCTCTTTGTTTCCTGTAAAGCAGTAGAGGGTAAGAACTATGAAGTATCCTATAGGGACATTAAATGACTGGATATAAGAATAAGAACATAATTTCTGCCAAAATAAAAATATCTTTGGGATGTATTAGGTGTTTTGAAGAATATTTATATTTTGCATTAGGTCAATCTGACTGATAAGCTGACAAACAAAATACTCCTTTATTAGTGAGTTCTACAATATTATAATACATAGAAAAATACAAATGAATGCAGATCCATCTGGCAAAAATGAACTACAAAGATAAAGATGCAACAATCAACCCCGCACGAGGACGACACTGGAGCTGACTCGGAGACAGCACCAAGCATACAGCTTTATAACTGTTTTCAAAGTCAACCATTAACCAAAAACAAACTGGCTTTCCTTACTGTTTGTTTCGATTCTGCCTTTCCTGTAAAAAGAAGAAGAGAAGAGTTATTAGCTCATAAAGCACTATGATTTGCAGGTAAAGGCCCATATAAATGATGCCTGAAGCCTAGGCTGCAGCCAAATATGGATGTGTGCTGGTCTAGGCAGTCCCTGTGGACCTGCTTCTGAACTACCACCTACATTCAAGCACCACATGTTGGCCTATCCTTTCTCAAGAAGACCCTCTGAATAGAAGTCATAGGGCCGTGTGTCCCATCAAGTGTCTCCTACCAATCACCCCAGCCTTCCTCCCACCCAACCCAGCCAGCTCTCCCTCATATGCCATTAGCATGCTACATGAGATCTATAAAACATAGGAGATCTATAAAAGCACCTGCACCCAAGGGCACTCTAGCATGTCTGATACACAGGAACAACTTTTCTAAATTTTCTCTCATTCTATTAAACCAATGACTCAGAGAACACCAAAATCTGTCTAATGCTAAAAAGCAAGCTCCAAGTCAGGGCGAAGTAGGACAGGAAGACAAGACAAGCCATCTAGTTGAAGCCCTTCCCACCACCTCAAGTTTCCTCGTGCCTTCCACCAGTACCGACTAAGTCAGAGGGATAACTCCTCAACTGAGCTGACTTACTTTTACTTCCACAGACAGCTCTCCACCCCCAGCATGCGCATCACAACAATCTGGGACTTACATCCAATTCTTTCTTCATGTGTGCCTACATGGTTTCTGATCAGTGGGTTTAGAAGCCACCTTGTCTTTCCTAACATTGCACCATCTAAATTCAGCCCATAACAGAGTGTCTCTGGGGCAAGGAAGACGTACTATCACACACACATCAAGCACCATGTTGTGTCCTAACCCTTTTAGGACCCTCTGTATAGTCTTATGTCTGTTTCTCTTCCCCCTTCTCTCCTCTCTTGTATGTATGCACACACACAGACTGTCTCTCTCTCCTCCTTCCTCCCTCATGTACTGTCATGCTATTGGAGAATGAGCATAAATATAAAAAATTATACCCAGAGTTAAAGGTTCTATCCCCAGCAGTCATCCTAGGTATGAACTGAGAAAACTGCCAGTAGAGTTCCTACAGTTACTGAAGTTTGTAATTGCTCAGTTTGGGTTTTGTTTGTTTTGAGACAGTGTTCATGTACCTAAGGCTGGCCTTGAACTACTCCTGATCCTTCTGCCCACACATACCTCTTAAGCACTGGAATCACAGGTATGTGCTACTGCTTCTAAATACATTTAGTGTATCTGAGCAACAGGTGTACTTTCCTTTGGGGATAAGCTGGACCAAACATGTGCCAGGCACAGAGATGACCACCACCCAAAGCCTCTCACATCTTCACGTAACTCCAATCTTAAGGAGGTGGCAAGGCACCTAGATCAATGAGTAGGTGGATTACTAAGAATTCACAACCCTCCACTTCGGTGTAAAGAGGAAAATTCTCTTCAACCAAAAGCCTGTCTCCCCAGAGTGAAATGGCTGCTAGTAAAGCACCTTGAAGAGGAAGACAGTGTCTGGCTCCTTCAGCCATAGCTTTCTAGCAACAGCTACAAAGTTTGTCACCTGCTCTTTAAAGAGGTAACATTGCTCATAAAACTTTTTTTGTGGGGAAGGGGGTGCTGAAGGAGGATACAGGTCATCCTAAAAGGGCCTTGTGTATGTGACACACCCCAGAGGCCTGTCTGACTAGGGTCAGAATATTGTAGGAATCTCCAGCTAGTAGGCATTGTGCAGAACACTCAACTGTCATTGTTTTAAATACTCTAACAAAGACCCGCTAATAGATTAGATTGAACAAAACAACTACATAGGGATGGCAAGGTGGCGCAGCAGACTAGGACACATGCTCCCAAGTCTGACAATCTGGGATTTGATGCCCAGGACTCATATGACAAAAGGAGTGAGCCACACCCTCCCCCATATCCTTTTACACCCCACCACACACACACACAAATAAATGTGTAAAATGTAACGAGTAAAAATAAATTTAAATTGAAAAGCAAGGTATCTGAGACTATGTCTCAAAAACAATAAACAACAACAAACAAAACAAAGGCCGCTATAGAGGCGTATGCCTTTAATCCCAGAGCCCACCAGGCAGAGGCCTATGGATCAAGACCAGCCACAGCTATATAGTGAAGACTGTCTCAAAACAAAACAAAATAATAACAAGGTATCAAACTAGGACTTGGAATTGAAGCCAGCCTGGACTATGAAGTGAGTTCCAGAATAGCCATGGTCACACAGAGAAACCATGTCTTGGAAAACCAAAAAAAGGAAAAAGGAAGAAAAGAAATTAGCGTATTTTCCTATTTATAGCTGGACAAAAAAAAAAAAAAAAAAAAAAAAAATCTGAAAGAGCAACTGTGAAAATGTTAGCTATGTTTTGCTTTCTAAAAAACAAATGCTACTTAAAAGTGGTGAGGTCTGTCCTCAGGTCAGAAGAACCTTAGGTGTCTCCGAAAGCCTCAAGCATTTTGCAGGCACATTTTAGCCTAGAAGGCGGCACAGCTCTTCACTCCTCCAGACTTCGTTCTTTTTTTTTTAAACAGAGATCTACCTGCCTCTGCCTCCTGCGTGCTGGAATTAAAGGTGTGTGGTACCACTCCCAGCTTCCCACTGCACTCTAAGATGAAATGGCATTCCTCAGCAGCCTAGACTCTCAATCCCCAAACACCTGGGATTCCAATTCCTAAATAAACCAACAGCCCAGTCTCCTTGAAGGGAAAATGGAGTACCTGGTGGGTAGCTGGCACACAGCCCAGCAAAGGCATGAATCGCCTAAGGATTGTCCCACAGTGGGTAAAGAGATGTTTGAAATTCCACTAGAACCATTACAAAAAAAAAAAAAAAAAAAAAGGCCAGAGTATTCATTTGTCTTCTTCAATACAATTTAACACTCAAATCCATGGATTAAAAAAAAAAAGCTTAATGGCTGGGGGCTGTCATTGTTTGGGAAAGAGTCACTTGTCCTTCCTAAGAGGCTCTTTATGCTGACCTCCATAATGTTTCAAGACCTCTAAGGACTACCAGGGATCCTGACCATATGCCAGTAACTTGTAACTCCGGAAGGTCACTCAAAAGGCTTACCACAAGACCAGAGAGTAATCAGAGACCTTACAGCAATCTGTCTAAGAATCAAGTTTATAATTCAAGTTTTAAGATGACAGAATTAGGGACTAACACTGTTCTTGCCAAAGACTTGGTTCTCTTTTGGTTCCCAACATCCAAATCAGGAAGTTCACAACTATCTGTAACTCTAATACCATGGGATCTGACACCCTCGTCTTACTTCAGTAAGCATATGCACACGTGATGCATATAAAATCATGAAGGCATAGATAAAAACTTAAAAGATTTGAAAAAAGCAAAAAGTTTTTATGGGGCTGGAGAGACGGTTCAGTGGTTAAGAGCATTGGCTGCTCTCCCAGAGGACCCGGCTTCAATTCCCAGTACCCACACAGCAGCTCACCACTGTCTGTAACTCCAGTTCCAGGGGTTCCAACACCCTCACACAGACATATTCAGAAAAACACCTAAATAAAAATTAAACAAAAAAGACGTTATAATTTTTAATACACAACCAAACGAGGGGCAGAGTTTTATCCCTAAGCCTATCACCAATCTCTGAGACTTAGTGTATGTATGTATGTATGTATGTATGTATGTATGTATGTATGTATGTATGTGTTTATGTATATGTGTGTGTTACATAAAAGAACTGAGTGTTCTGTTTCCTGAGATTTTATTTATTTTTATGTGTTAACTGTTTTACCTAAACATGTAACCAAGAGTACAGTGCCTTCAGAAGCCAGAAGAGGGTGTCAGATCCTGTGGGTCAGGCATTATAGACAGCTGCTAGCTGTCATATATGTACTGGGAATTAAATTCAGGTCCACAGGAATAGCAGCCTACACTTAATTGCTGAACCATCTCTCCGGGCCCACCCAGGGCATTTTTAATGGAACTCTAAAGATTCACTATTTAAAAGAAAACTGAGCATTAACACATGCGCACACAAATAGCTAGCTACCAGATAAAAGGAACAAAATAGGTAGCTACTAGATAAAAGGACCTAAGTTTCATTTACTGCCCCTGTTCTAACTCAGGCAGACACCACACTAACAATACTGTGCTAACACAGTGGTTTGATCTATAGATGCTCTAGGCATTTTTGGTTTACACTGGTATAGATATGATAATGCTACTGAAACAAAATCACTAACAGCCTATTTTTAAGAACCTATGTCACTGTTAAGAAATGCCTATCTGTTCTTTTATACCTAAAAAGCTAAATCTACACAATTTCAGTTACTGGAAATAAATGCCATCCCTTTCTTAATGCTTTTTCTCATCATCACTACATGTGATGAGAGTAACTTACTGGTACCAGCAGCATTACCACAGGGCTTTTTCCATACTTCCATGCTCAAAATGTTTAACTATTCACATAAGCAAGTCATCTAATGCAGAGGACAAGAAGACTGGAGGCCATCCAACAAGCAACCTCCCATGCTAACTGACAGTTAATGAAAAAAAAAAAAAAAAAAAAAAGAATCTGAGGACAAATGTTCTTAGGTAATAAACACTTCACAATACACCAAGACCTGTTTCATTTCTGTTCTGCAGACCAAATGACATCAAATCAGTTAGGACTATCTCCAGGCAAATGGACCTAACCATATAACCATAATCTTTAATTCCAAATACCTGGATCCCAAGCCAGCTCCCTATCAGGGGGCCCCAGCACACTATTCTTAGTACTTAAATGATTTAAGTGGATTTAAGTTCCCCCAAACTGTAGGCCTTCTGAGTTCCTAAAAGGATAATAGGAACTGACCTTTAGACCCAAAGCTTCCAATTATGGTGTGGTAGTGCATAGATCCTCGGGCAGGTGGAATACCAAGGCACAGCCAATACCATGGGCAGTCTCACTGGATTCCCTGGTGCCACATCAACAGTTTTGTTTTTTTCTTTTAAGGTTTACTATTTATGTAGTATTCTGCCTGCATGCCAGGAGGTACCAGATCTCATTACACATGGTTACGAGCCTCCTTGTGTTTGCTGGGAATTGAACTCAGGGCCTTTGGAGGAGAAACCAGTAGTCCTAACTGAGCCATCTCTCCAGCCCCTTGAACACTGGTTTCTAAGTGTGCTTGACTGGGCAGACACTAGAAAGAACAGCTTTCCTGCATTCTCTGTTCTTAAGTATATACATAGTAGTCCAGATTACCACGTCTTGTAAGAGGAAAGTGGTAAGATTTTTATTGACATCCACTCAAAACATCACACTACTGGCTCATCCCAGTGATGTAATAGCTAAGTTAAGAGATGCCTCTCATACTGTATCAACCTGCCCCCACTGGGCATTACACTCCAGCCCATTGTGCAGGTCCCCTGGCATGCAGCCAGACACCCGTGTAACAGGTACCTAAAGATAACTCACCTTGCGCACCACTTCCTCTTCCTCCTGGCGCTTCTCGTAATGAGAAAAGTCGTCAAAGATGGAGGTCGTGTGCTTATAGGATGCAATAATTTTCAGCACTTGTTTTGCTTTTTCTAAGGGCACCTCCTGTGTATCACGGGAGTTTGTGACAGGTTTGTTGTCGTTATTCTCCAGTCTGATGTGCCGAAGTTGGTTATTGGGCACATCCTTGACAAAAATCCACTTCACATCAAACTTCCCCTTCCACTTGTCCTGAGACCAGACCCCAGCACTGGTGCCGTAGTCCACAGGGGACTTCATCTCTGCCACCCCACAGAAATGTCCACTCCCATTGACACTGAAAAGCAGATAAACAGGCCCCTTGCTGCTCATGGAGCGGAAGGCGCCATCCAGGCGCTTGTTGCCATGCTCAGTGCTACACCAGATGGAGTACTTGATAGAGCGGTGGATGTCGTCCTCAGAATAGCTCTTGATGATGAACACCCGCCCACTCTTAAGATTCCAGTCGAACTCTTTAGGGTTGTAGCTGTGGGCAGCTTTCAGTTTCTCCAGGACTGGGTGGGATTCTACACTTGGGGTAGAAGCAGGCTGGGCATTTCCAACAGAGTTACTGTCACTGTTGGCCCCTCCACTCTGCCCAAATGCTGCATTTCTGTTTCGAGGAGCCACCCAGCGGGGTTGAAGTGGCTGCTGAGGGCTCTGATACTGTGGCTGGACCAAAGGTGGGGGCTGAACAGGGAGAGGCTGAGCTACCTGCTGGGGCTGTGGGGCAGCCTGGGGGGATGGTGTCTGCTGGGGAGCTGAGGCCTTTGGAACAGGGCCCTTGTTATCCCATGTACCAATGTCCATGTTATGCTTTATTGGTGGGGGAGGCAGGGCACCCCCTACTATCGGCCCACTCTTTGTTTTCATCTTAGGCTGTGGTTTTGCAGGCTTGCTGGCAATGGCTGCCCATGAAGTTGGTTTTGAAACTGGCATGTTTACATTTGTCCCACCATTACCAGAAAGAACACCAGTCAGTGCCACACTGTTGACTACTGAACCCACTGTCTTAACTGCAGAGGTGGTAACATCCCCAATCTTCAGGCCAACCATGCCCTGTTCCAGACTGTTCATCCCAGGGGCCTTGTTGAGGGTGTCACTGTGAAAACCTGTCTGCCCATCAACAACTGTGCCACCAAGGGAGCTTGGTGGGTAAGTGTAACTGCTCCCATAGGCTGAGCTCTGAGTCTGCTGCCCCTGAGAACCACTTGTCCCCCATGCTGAGAATGCAGGGTTTTCAGGAAAAAAATTAAACCTGTGCTGGTAAATATTGTTCCCCAGACCTCCAGGCTGCCCAAAAACAGCATCATGCATGAAGTGATGGTCTCCATTACTAAGTTGTCCATAGGTAGTGAGATATGGGATGGGAGGGTCCCCTGCAGTGGACCATGGTGCCTCGCTGAGGGAGTAAGGAAATCCAATGGATGGTGGATAGTAGCTGGACAGGTAAGGATCACTCATCGAGGGGTAACTGTTACTCTGTGAAAACAAACAGGTGATGAATTAGACTCCTGTCACACAGCCCACCATGCTGACCACTTCATACACAGGCAGAGCAGAAAAAAAGTCTACTACGGCACATGATTATTTCTTCCTAAATGAAAGCTTTGGCCACCAATGTCAAAATAAAAGTCAGGATCTAGAGAAATTCGTAACAAATGCAACCTAAGCTGTTGCCTCAAAATACAAAACCAGCTTTGCAATGATCTGAACTCGGATGAAATGACCTACCCAAACCACCCTTCCACCTCCACCAATCAGAGGAATCCAACCCAGTCTTGAAATAGTAAAATTTACAACGAACACCAATAGCACAGCAAAGCATGAGGACAGCTTTCACAATGCACCGAGATGGCTCCGACAGTCAATAAAACTAGCAAGCTCCAGCTCACTGACCTGTTAACACACCTGGGCACTGGTATTCAACGCCCTTTAAGGCCCTCTTCTACCCGACATTCCCAATAGTCCCCCGGCTGAGTTCTTCTGAGGCTCTGCCTTTCACATTCCATGGTTTCCTGGGCACACTCCTGGGCGCTCAGCATGGAGAACAAGGTCTTTCATCGGTTCCAGGTCTTTACCAATATCAAGTCCCTGGAGTTTAAGAACCTTGCTATCTGATAGCGGAAGACCCACTTTAGTTAGGTCTTCTTAAGCCCCACCTATCTGCATCAGGAGCTTGTGAGAGGGGCTTTAAAGGCAAAATGTTGTAGAGAAAGGATGGAATGCTTCACCATCTTGACCTGATAGCCTTACTATACCTCTAAGGAGTTTCCTAGGCTGCAGATGTAAATTTTGGAGTTGGCAGCTCTAAAATAACATCTCTTTGGAGAGACACTCAGCTGAGGTTCTCTACACACGGCCCTCAGGTATTATAACAGAGGTGCTTTGGGCTCAATTTTGGTTTTCACCTCAACCCCACCAACACACTAGTTTCTATTATCCCATTATATTTCTTTTCAATCTCATCAGTGAGGTTTAAAAAAAAATAAAGATACCTTCCTATAGCATGGCAATTTGTGCTTGGGGGTGGACACGTCTAGTGAAGGTTAATAAAGTTTTACTTGGCATCAGACCACTTCAGATCATTTAACGTGAAATAATTGCTTCCTGTAATAAAAACTTTTAGCATCTACAAGTAGGTCATTATAAATAGTCTATAAACATGAAAAAAACAAAACAAAACCAAACCAAAAAACTTTGTGTATCTTCTCCTGGAAGGATTTCAGTGATTCTGGCTCCTCCACTGCAACTTCCTGTCTCGTACTTCCTCCCAGAATCCCTCAAAGGAGCCTGAACAACAGGGCCAGGGGGAAGAAGAATCAATAAGCTCTGGGCAGAAGCATACAGATGCCTTCAAGGATTTAAAAGGACTATGGAGGGCATAGTCCTTCCAAAGGAAGATCAGCCCTCTCCTCAGCAACTACTTTAATTATGAGAAAGGCAAATAGAAGGGAAGACCCTAGTGATGGTATGCCATTCTAACCCACTGGGCCACAAACCAACAGAAAAACAGCAATAAGGACTCAGAAAAGATGCTCAAGTCATTCTGACTTACACTTAGGCCATAACTGAGACTGACACAATTTAGGATTATGAGGTATGACCCATCACATTACGTACAGCTCTCAAGGCCCACCGTCCAAAGAACAGACATAGCACACAGGTTAAAAACAGAGCTGTACAAACAGCCCGCCATGCACTCAACACCACACAACAGGGACCCCCTTTATTCTTCAGCCTTGCCCTGCCCAAATGATACCTGAATATGGTAGATTCAAGCACAACACCTCCCTGCCCCAAATCCTAAAATTGTCTCTTTCAGATCCTAACACAAAGATCCCAGCTAACTTTCTCTGCAAAAATCATCACACCTCAAGTCAAGGGTGTGATGATTCAACTAAAAATGTACATGTAGAAACACACTTTTAGGACAAAGGCAGTAAGGCATCACAAAAGAGAAGCAGTCAGCAGCCTGGAAGGTATAGCCTTGGGGAGATCTCACTGCTCTGAGTTGTAGAATGGAAGATGGAATAAGTAAAAATAAAATCAAGCCCCATGGAAAAGGTGAAATTCCAGATAAAAAGGCCATTGTTTACTAAGGTCTCCTGAAAAGTGCTGTGGGCATCCAGGAGGTTGTCCAAACACCTAACCATGCCCTCCCTTTGCCTCTGAACCAGCAGCCCCACCTCTCCTAATTCTTTCCATCCTGCGAGGCCACAGGCACTGTGAAACTGTGCTTTAGCCCAATTCCAGTTTTTACCTCAACCCCACTAACAGACCGGTTTCTATTACCTCCATCGTATTTTCTTTCAATCTCTGAAAGTGAAGCACCAGGCTACTTTGTGAAGCTATCTCAACCAGGCCATTTTATGCAGAAGAAACCTGTAGCCGCTGCTCCCGCAACTCTGTAAGCCAGGCTGAATGCCAGTCCATGATATACACCTTTCCTGGGAAGGAAGTGGTTCCCATCAGTACATGCTCCCTGTTCTGGTCTAGATGTGCAACAATTTACTTCAAATGTGCCCTGGAAATAAATACACTGGGGCTGCTGGTAAAGCATGCAAAGCCTGTCCAAGCCCTCCTCCTCCCTCCATACAGCCAGGCACAAGCTTAGGGTTTACACTCACTTATAAATGCCCCAGGCAAGACAGTGCCTTCTGGCTTTGTGGCTCCACAGTGTAGTTACCAATATGAAATGGTTTATCAGAGACACAGCTGAGTAAACTAAGTTATGCAAACAAACTCAAAAGTTGTTCTTCACACATGAACACCTCTAAGTAGAGCACTTGGGTTCCCACAGCTCTTACCAGACTACTGGGTAGTCCCATATTTAAGATTTCTAATCAAAGTCTGGGTAAAACAGGACCACACAAGGAGGCAAATAAATCTTCCAGGCAAAGCCAGAGAACACTGACAGGTGAAAATACAACTTGGAGCTCTTAGGCCTTTTCCTCTGGATAACTAGGAAATTAGATAAATAAAATAGACACTCCAAAGAATTAAAGAGAATTTGAATAACCATAGCTGTTATCCCTAGATCATTTGGAAATAGAAAAGTATAATAAAGCCATAAATCTGTTCTAGAATTAAAAAGGGTTTTGTTTGTTTGTTTGTTTTTGTATTAAACCAAGTTTAATCACCTTAAGTGAAAAGGAAGGTGGGGAAGATCCAAATGACTAGAACATTTCCTCTGTCCTTCTTCTGAGAAGGAAAGAATTCCAAGACCATTTGAACAATAAGGTGACTAAACATCAGAGTAACTGAGACTGGAAGGAGATGTACAACAGTCTCCTCCAAGCCCTTCAGATCATCTCTGGAGCATGCTGAAACACAAGTACTAATCAAATCTAATCAATTATGAGAAAGGAAAGCATTGGAGGCAAGGTTGAAAAGTGACCAAGCAACTAGGACTCCTGGAAACTGCTCAGTCAATCAGCATGACAACACTTGTTTCAGGAGATTACAGACAGAGGAAAGGTTAAAGAAAAATCTGAACACTGCACACTCACTCGGCTAGGCACTTTCTTGGTCTTTCTTCAAGACTGATCCTTCTGAGACTGTGATGTCAGCCACTTATCTGGCTGGTATGCAGAGACAGCAGCTCCTGACAAGGAATTTCTCTATCTGTTTAAGCAACTTGCTAAGGAGCAAGTAAAGACCCACTGCATGCTTTCCTCGGCCCCCTGGGAAGCTGTAGTGGTAGCAAACTCCTCCAACTGGGTACCATCATTGGACCTTTTAAAGAATCTTATATACCTGTAGCCACAAAAATCTAAGCCAGACACAGGCTGGATAGCCAGGCACGTATATGCTAATTCCAAGCCTACCAGAACTGCCTGGACATGGCAGTAACCCAAGTGTCAAGTTTCTCTCAGATATTCACAAATAAGAAAGGCTGCATATACCCTAACAAGGCACAGCATTCTTTAACTATGGGCTGTAGGCGGAAAAACAAAAACAAAACAAAACAAAAACCCACACAGACCCTGATAAAAAGCCTTGGGTGATTGGGTAGGCTCAATTTTCAAGATAAGCTCCTAAGGCCAGCAAGCAGTTCCTCACAAATGAGTATGGAGATACAAACTTCAGTGTGGTCACATGTAACATGAGTGGCAGTGTCCATCAAGCACTTTAAACAATCTTTGGGCACTAGGATGTACTACAGAAAAGTAGGGTGATAGAATGAAGAAACAAACAACAAAGACAGTAGGCACTTGCTGAATGACTATAGAGGTTCCAGCTTCTCCAAAGAGGTAAATGGTCATTATCATGCTGGGCCTCAACTGCTTCCTTAAGTGAAAGCCTGAAAGCTTCCTGTGTTGCTACTTTCTACCTACCTAACACAATTTGTTATTTCTAGAAAATGTAGTCTTATGCAATGTGCTGGTGCAGATGCGGTGGTGCACACCTGTAATTCCAGCACTCAGAGAGACAGAGGTAGGCAAATCTCTGAGTTTGAGGCCAGCCTGGTCTACAAAGCGAGTCCAGGAAAAGCAAGGCTACACAGAGAAACCCTCTCTCCACAAACCAAAACCAACCAACCAACCAAAACCAAACAAAAAACATGCTAGTTAGTTAAGCACTTTACCAAAAGCACACATCTGAGCATACAGACATCAGGAACTAGAGCTATTTACTGGGGTGATTCCCTGAATAACATTCCTTTTCATGGCTTCCCCAAGAGAAGAGTTCAGTACCATGCAATTGACAGTAAGGGGGAAAATCGATTCCACTTTTAAGAAACTAAATATTCTAAATATTCTAAATAATTCTAAATATTCTAAATATTCCATGAGTCCCTGCTTAATAAAATCACATTTCAAATGTAGTAAAGCAACCCCAGTTCCTTGTTTTGTTTAATATTTAATACACACCACTGCTAAAAGAAACCCAGGAGCTGGGCAGTGGTGCACATGCCTTTAATCCCAGCACTCAAGAGGCAGAAGTAGGCAGATCTGTGAGTTCGAGGCCAGCCTGATCTACAGAGTTCCAAAACAGCCACGGACCTTGGCTTCTACACAGAGAAACCTTAAAAAAAAAAAGGAGGAAAAAGAATACACTTGTTTAATGTTTTGTTCTTATCATGGACAACAGCCCCTAATGAAAGTCAAGTCAGTTCTGCAACCCTATACTGCCCAGATATTCAGGGCAACCATGCAACCCAATAGGTTAAGGTTAAGGCTCCCTCACACTCTTAGGCTTCTGATATGCTGAATGTGGTGGGAAGAAAGATGGAGAAAAGTTGTAAAATGCTCTAAGATGACCTAGAAGGAGGAGATGAGGAAAACAAAAACAAAACCCGGCAGATAATCCATTTCCTTCTGGTAGAAGGGCCAGCAAAGCCTTGGTTGACTCTAAACACACAGCAGGCATTTAAAAGTGGCAGACACTATGGTAAAAATCTAAATTTCAAATTGTCTATGGCTTTTTGTTTGTTTTGAGATAGGTTTTAATACAGAGCCCTGGCTGGCCTTGAACTCACCTGTCTGTACCTGGGATTAAAGTTGTGTACCACCATACCCAAATTGTCTCTGGTTTTTAATCAGGGCAATTTTGTCATCAGAAAACATCTTGCAGACAATTCTCCAATTCTCATGAAAACCTGCACAGAGAATCTAGTGGGTGGGAGCCAGGGAGATACTGGAGATTCTCTAGTGCAGGGAACAGCCAAAACAATGCTTTGGCACAAAATGCCCATGATTCCAGGTTAGGGGACAGAGAGGACATGAAGGTAGGAGGGGCACACTGGGGAAATATGAGGCTGTTATGATCAACATATAGTGTATGTTCATATGAAATGTTCAAAAGGTTAAAAAAAAAGTTTAATTATATAGTTCTAGAGAGCTGGCCCAGAGATCGAGTACTTGCTATTCTTGCAGAGGACTATAGTTCAGTTGCCAGGATCTATATAGGCAGTTCACAATCACCTGGAACTCCAGTTCCAGAAGATTTAACACCCTCTTCTAGACTTTGAGGTCACCTGTGCATATACGGAAATGCCCATACTTAAAAATTAAAGTACTAAAAAAAACAAAACAAAACAAAACAAAAAAAAAATTAAAGTACTGACTGGGGAGATGGCTCAGTTTAAAGCCACTCAAACTTTAGGACCAGAGTTTGGAACCCCTCAAACCTATGTAAATGCCAGACGAGTTTGGTGGCCTACTTGTAAAGGTGGGAGATTCCCAAAGTAACTGAGACATAGCCACACTGGCAAGCTCTGCGTTTAACAGATCATGCATCACTGAATAAGGTAGAAGGATCATAGAAGATGACATCAACATCAGGTCTATATGTGTTTGATCCCCACCTCCCGGTCCCCATGGCTCATTACACACACATACTTGTGCCCATACATATATACCTACACATGAAAATGGAAGGGGTCCATGCTGGCAAAGATAAGAAATCCTGAATTACCTGAGAACAAAAAGCCCTTGGAGCTTACTGGACAATACAGGTACTCTCTCTGTGCTTTATATAACCTCTCTAATGCCAATCTCCTAAGAGTCCTAACAGCAGTATTATTTTTTCATAAAAAAAAAGAAACTAGGATTCAGAGGAGGCAAGTCACCTGATGCAGGTTCGAGCACAGACAAGGAGTCTGCTTCACTGTCCAGTGCTTAGCTACTCTCCTGGATCATAACACCAACTCTCCAGAGACAAAGTGAACATAGCACAAAGCTTCAGGGAACCATACACTACTATACACCATAAAAAAGCATTAAAAAGCCTACAAATGCTGAGGCTAAATTAGAAGGCTGCCTATACTCAACCTCAATGGGATGCTGCTCCACATGGAGAAGACTATCTTCCATTCAGGCCCCAGGCCCAGCAGGAAGACCTGCTCCAACCAAATCTCCACGCCCACTCTATCATTTCTAATACTTTCTAGGCTATCTCCTGTTTGGGGTACAAAAAATAGAAATATTTATAATATATGTGTTAAAAGCAAAATTATTTAAAAAATAAAAATATGCTAATAAAATAAACTCACCGGATTGGATTGTCCAGAAAGGTAGGGCTCAAAGTCATTGTCATGGACTGTATCCTTCTGATGTAAAGAACCATTTTGTACTAGAACAAGAAGTTGCAAAATATTATCTTCAAGATTTAAAAAATTACTTTGAAGCATGGAAACCTTAGTAAAGTCTATTTTTACCAATTTTTATTAGATAACTATTTCAAAATGGGTAAACTCTCGAGAGCTGATGTTTATATGCCTAGTTAGAATGCTGCTGTACAACTCTTCATAAACTACTTTTAAAATAAAAATATAACTATAGTTTGTTTAGATGTCATTTTGTTGCAAATAAATGGCAAGACACTTATTACAGTCAGACTTTGAGGGTCATGTGATGGCCCCTCCCCCACTCTAGAGGTGGGGGACTGAACCAAGGCCATATGCCAGTCAAGTGCTCTAGTACTGACCCCCCCACCCCCGCTGATGAAATCTACAGGGTCTCAGAAGATCTACGCCAGGCAAACAGAGCTTTTGCTTTTAAACACATCCTTTTAAGAGCCCAGTTGTGTGTGGAGATCTGAGGGCAGGACGCTCAGCTGGAAAGGGCTGTAATCGAAGCTCACTATCATCTGATTCTCCACTTACACAGTGCACAGCCAGTAAAGGAAAGAAAAGGAATGGTAAATAAAGTGTTGGGCCTTTTCCAACCTTAAAACACGATGAACCATATTTGGTTACACCCAAGTAACAACACGCACTGGCTAAGAACAGTCTTTCAAGTAAACATGTAGTGTCACTTTTGAGGTCTCACAAGTTTTGGGAGCTTATTACAAGCCAGAATAGCACAGGAGATGGCAATAAACTTACTATGACTGTAACTAAGGGTGGAGGGCACAGCCTCTGAGGCCCACAGGCTAGCTGGCTGGCTGATTCTCCTCCACAGCCACCCACTACCTAACAGAAGACCAGTCACTCATCCCCCACCCCACCCCGCCCCCCACCCTCTGCGAGGACGTCTTGTCACCTTATCACTATTTCCTTCCCCCACCAGGTAACTGTTCTTGCAGGTGAAGAGGGAAGGACTGCACTACTCCGGGTACGTCTTTATTTTCTAGTCCCCTTCCAATCTGTCAATACCCCGGAAATGGAAAGTTTCATCTCCTCCAAGTTGACGGAGGAAACTAAGTTTCATTGGATTCCAAGCCAGGTTGGCAGACTTTCTCTTGTCCACACTGTCATTACCCCGTTCTCCTCCAAAGTCCGTATGACTTCCCGGAACTCTCCTCACCTTTATTATCTTGTCCTTTTGTTCTCTGCGTCGCCGCAGGCCAGGATATGCGGGTGGACACCACCCAGTCCGGGAAAGGAAACACAAAGTTACTATCCGGAGAATGCCCCACGAAGGGCGACGCGACCCTGGCCTGGCCTCCAGATCTCCCACACTTTGACCACGGCCAAGCCCAGCGACCCCGTCATCTGAACCCGTAACTCAGGCCCGGCCTGGTATCCAAATCTTCGGCCCGGAGATTCAAGCCCTGACCCGGCCGCCCGGTTCCCAGCCCGGACTCCGTACCCCCAACCCCAGCCCAGCCTACAGGTCCCCGGCGCTGACCAGACTGCAATCTGTCTTGCCCAGTCCACGGCCTGGTCTCGCGACCGTGGTCCGGAGACGTCCCTACCTGGGGGTCCACGCTGGTGGCCGACATGCTTCATGAACAGCGCGGCGCGGGACCGGGGCGCCGCCGGCTCGGGCCTCCCACGAGGCCGGGCCTGTCACGCCGCGCGCGGCCCCGGGCCCCGCCGCCAACTCCGCGGGTGCGGCCGGGCGCGGCGACAGCTGTAAGCGCGCGGGCTGAAACAGCGGGAGGCAGCGGGAGGTAGCGGACAGGCTGATGGGGCGCCGACTCCAATGGCGGCCGCGGCGGCTGGGACGAAGCTGCGCGACGTCAGCGCGCGGGGCAGGCCGGGAGCGCCGTCGAGTCGCCACCATCGCGCCTGCGCGCCGTGGCTCCTCGCCCAGAATTTCGCGCTTGGGACTCAGTCTCGCGCTGGAGGGGCGGGGCCGGACGGGATGGGGCGGAGCGAGTCGGGAGTCACGTGGAACTACTGGGGCGGTGCCTATTGAGGAGGTGGGTGGCTGTGGCTAACTTATATACCTATCTGTCAAAGTTTTGAGGGTGCTAAGCAGGCCTCCTTGCCTGCCCCGCGACAATCTGGGCCTGAGATGAGAGTGCCAATATGTGACCAGAGTTCGTGTTAGATTCTGAACCCGGTTCTATCACCCAGAGGGAAAAGACAAGAAGCCTTTGAGAAAAGCTAGACAGCCCGCTTTGGGGAAAGCTCAGGTCATCCCTTAAAGAATCCCCAACAAAGAACTCACATCATTAGCTATTTCAGGCAGACTTCTTGCTCAGTGAACCTGTTCCCCCACAGCAAATAACACTTTCACTCAAGGTTTATTTGGGGGCTCAGTGTTTAAAACTACTTGTTCATACAGAGGACCAGGGCTTGGTTCCCAACACTCACATTCCAGAAGCCTCTTCTAGCATTGGATGCACGTGGTACATATACAGACAAGCCGGCACACATACATATGAAATAAAACAAATTTTTAAAATGTAATTCATAAAATATTCATTAATTTAAATTTTCTGTATAGGAGTGTTTTGTCTGTTTTGTCTATGCACCACATGTGTGCCTGGTGCTTAAGGAGGCTAGAGGAGGGTGCCAGGTGCACCGGAACTGGAGTCACAAATGGTTCGGACTTTCAACATGGGTGCCGAGAATTGAACCTGGGTCCTCTGAAAGAGCAGCAAATGCTCTTGTACCCCGAGCCATCTCTCCAGCCTCTTTAAAATATTTTTTTAATTGTATGTGTATGAGTGCTTTGCTTTCATGTATATATGTCCACTATGTGTGTGCCTGGTGCCTGTGAAGGTCAGAAAAGGTATCTGATTCCCTGAAACTGGAGTAACAGGCAAAATTGTGAGCCATCATGTGACTGCTGAGAACCAAACATGGGTCTTCTGAAAAAATATTGCTAGGTACCAATGCTCATTCATCCCTCTCAGGGAGTGTTTGGTCCCTGGCTTTGCTGTAGTAAATGTCCTAGTTTCTGCTACATGTCATCAATAGGAGGACACCAGTGGGAGGCACTTGCAGGTCAATCACTGGCTCGCAGGGCACATCTCTTGGCCATTTTGAAGATGGTAGATGCCCTTCAAGGAGGCTGGGAGAGCTGAAGGATTGGGGCCAGAGGCTACAAGCCCTGTTTTCAAATGACATCTGGCTCGAACAAGACTTTGCTGTGTGCTGGGCTTAGCTCACTCAACCATTGGCTCTATGAAGGCCAGCTGTGTGTGGACACCTTTCTGTGCCAGACAGCCACAGGTGCTCAAATGTGACAGCCTCTTTCTTCTCTGTGAATGCCCTCTTAGGAATGAACTTCCTCCCTGCAGCAGATACCCTCTCCTTCCATAACTTCTGAGGTGTCTAGCTTGTCTTCCAGGAAACCAGCTTGTGATCTTGGGACTCCTTCTACCCTCTGCCCATTAGCAGCAACCTTGAGAAGCTCCTTTGAGTCATAACTCCCCCTTCTAAACATCCATTAGTCACTCATCTCAAAGCATTAGTTGAGCACCTACTCCAAGCCTGGGATGTCCAGAGTGAAGTGCCAGTGGTCCCTGCCCTCGGCAAGCATCCTGTGGAGGGATGCTTACACAGTCCTAGAAAGTTCCTCAACCTGCTCAGCCTTACTGAACACTGACTGCTCACCAGACATTCACGGACACAGGGACAGAAAATAAGGCAGGTGCTGTCCTTCGATCTAGACACAAAAAGAATGGTTTAAGCAAGTCACCATAAATCAGGCCTGTGATATGGCAGGCAGGCAGGACAGGGAGGAGTGAGAGAGAATGTCTCTGCATTAGTCTCAAGAAAATCTCTTAACTAGAATCTAAGTGAGTGGATTCTGACTGCCTCAGGGTTCTCTGGACAGAGGAACAGCAGGAGCCAGAACACAGACACTTACCCCAAGTCTAGCTCCCTGTAGCAGGGACCACTCTTGCATCCAGGGTTGAGTGCAGGTGTTTGGGCCAGCATTGGCAGATGCATCATGCAACCCAGCTCTCAAAAGCCAAGCAGCTCTGTGGTCTTGGATCAGAAAGCAAGCCTCCAAGAAGTTAGAGCAAATGCCAGACCACAGCCAACCAAACTGAACTTCAACCTACTCATAAACCTTGGCCTCTGTCCAACCCTTGTCTCTTTTCCATCTACACAGCACGCCCAAGGACCAGCAGCCTAACTTGGACCAGAAACCTGCTATCCACTGAGGGGGCCGTGGACTATTGACTACCTCTGGGTTTCCAAGGATGTGGCTAGCTTCTACTCCCGTAGTGGTACTTGTCTGTCCCCCAGAACAGCACCAGATGGCCCAGGATCCAGATATCTCCAGGATATCAGTTTCGAAGATGAGGGAGAATAAGAAAGATAGGTGGTACTCTAGGATCATGTAAGCCTCAGGCCTTGACTTTCAGTCATGAAACTACAGAGGCTGCTGAAACAGGCATCCTCATTCAACTCATGTGGCATCCAAGTCTGGCTCTCAGCAGGGTCCCCACAGGGCAAGGTGAAAACCAAGAACTCTGGTTCAAAAGGCAAGAAAGGTTTCCTCCTCCTGCCCTCACCAGCTCCCTCTAGACCTGTCATGATGGCTTTTTATTGGATTTTTGTTTGTTTGGTTGGGTTGACTGATTTGATATTTAATGTTAAGCTCTCTTAGGTAGAATGGTGCTAATCCTCAGTCACCCAAGCCACCCTGCCACATCCATTTGTGGACCTTGAGTACACTGTGCCCACACCTAGGCTCTTGCTGGCACAAGGGTGGAAGAGGTCTTTGCTTTAAGAACTGATTCTGGGGTAGATGAAGGCTGGGCTGGGCTGACTCCCCAAGCCCTGCTCAGGCCCAATCATCTCAGTAGGTGGCACTTACAAAACAGTCTCAAAGACTGTCTAGAAAGTAACTACAGCAACATTCTAGGTAAGAATCACCTGAAATGAAAGGTGCCTGTGCAGGTCCTGGGAACCACAAGGATTCCGAGGCCCTGTTGGAGATACACAAAGCTGGCATCATAGGAATCAAATCAGGGAGCCAGGTGGGGTTGGCAAGGGTCAGCACGGTAAGGCAGGAAAGAGAGTGAGCAGGGCTAACCACGGGGAGGGGCTTAGGGCCTGGCTGGGACAAAGAATGTGTTAAAATGCATGTGGTAGCTGGAGGAGTGCTGAGCACTGCTGAAGCTGCAGTGAGAACCTGACCAGACATGCAACCGACAAGCCTCCCCAAGGAATGAGAGTGAGCTGTCCAGGGAGTGGGAAGGCTGCAGGAGACTCTCTGACTATGGGTGTGGCCCTCCACGGTGCCCAGCAACCCTTCAATCTGGTAACTGCTTGCTGGTGTCAATGCTGGAAGTCCTCATCAGTCCTAAGCTTGTGCTTTTGAGTAAACAAGATGCCTTTCCCTCACTTCACTGGGTTGTGAGTAAAGAGGCTCTCCATGGCCATCTTTAACAAGAAGTGATGCTATCCCAGAGAGGGAAGAGTGTGCAAACGATGGCATTATCTGAACATATGAATCAAGCTAAGCTGGAGGCAGTCCACCCTGAACTTTGATCATGTAAGTTAATGGATTTCATTTGTGTCACAATTATGACAATGTGCAATATACAATCGTAACCCAATCAGGGCTCCATGGGAGAAGATCTGCCCTGATACCCACCCCATTTCTCCAGCACACACTGGCTGGTTTCTGGGTTTCCATACTCCCTCATGTTCTCGCAGTTCCCAGACACTGCCACATATTCCTCCTGCCCTGACCGTCCCCGAAGTCCCTAAGCTATCTTCCGGGGGTTTGGCCCTTTGTTGTTCTTGTCTCCTCAGAACCAAATGACACTGGGGACTCATCCATCTCACAGCCTTTCTGAAAGGTTTGGTCCATCGTTGTATGGCTAATTCCCATGACTCTTCCAGGGCCTGGTCTCTGACCCCGTGCTGTCATTCCCATCATAGCCAGTAGGGTGTGCTCTGAATCAGGTGTTAATGACCTTGGGCTCACTCCTCAACTCTTGGAGCTTGGTGTTCAGCCCATGGGCAGTGGGTGAGTGGTGAACTGGGCTGTTCTGTCCCACAGCATAACCACTGACCTTGTGCAGCTATTGAGTACTTGAACTGAAGGGCTGTATCTTCCATTTTATTTCATTTTAACAAAATAAAATGTCCACACTTTGCTAGGGTCCAGAGCATGGGGCACTCAAAGAAAGTCCAAGTCCCTGGGAAAAGTTGGTGACCTGCATGTGTAGTTGGCTCACAGATGGATGAGCTGAAAGTTCTAGTGAGCCTGGTTATCCGCTGTCCCCTCCAGCAACTCTGAATTGAATTGGAGGAAATAGTGTCAAGCTTGTCCCTTGCAGGCTATAGTTCCCACTTCCTTCTTTGCAGCCCTTCTTGGGGCCCAGGAGCTCCCTGATCCAGCCTTTCCTGAAGCTGAACCTAACTTTACCCTGGATTCCTCCTTTTCTGGAGTCTGGGTCCAGAAGCACACAGGCTGAAGGGTTGACCTGTGAGACATTTGGACTCCTCTGGACTTTGGGAATAGAAGACCGTTGTCATTTCAGCTAGCCCATGATGCTTAGATGTTCCTTGGCTGGACATCTCAAGGTCTCTGGGCTCCAAGAAATACCCCTGGAGTGCCCAGGGGAGTGACCTTTAGGAGAAAGTTTAACTTTAACACATTACCCCTTGCCAACACGAAACTGGGCACTGACACTCATGCTCCACCCTGTTTGGGATCTGCTCTGGAGAGCTCAGGGTAGGACAAAGGATCTATAAAACCACACAGAAAGGAAATTCCCTCAGTCTGTAGAGGGGGGTAGTGGCATTGGACTTTCTCTGTCTTCCTTGCCTCTCTCTCACCTCTTCCCTTACCACATCCAGGAACCCTCAGGCCTCACCCTAGGCTTCGAACACACAGAGGATAACACCAACAGTTCCCACACTCCCACGCTGGGCCTTGTCTGACCCAAAGTCACATCATGGTTATTCTTTGAGCTACAGGGCCTTGTTAATTACAACTGGTCACCACCTAGGTACTCTGTGTTAGCAAGTGATTCAGCATGCAGTGTGAGCTCATGACAGGGATGTAGGCATCAGACAAGGCATTGTAGAGACTAGTGCTGTTTCTATGAAGTATGAGCATGAAAGCAACTGGCACAGCCCCCTGAATGCTTTGTTCCCAGTCCCTTCAGCACCTACCATGCTATCGCTGGTCTCTCTCATGGTCCTTGTGCACTGCTGAACTCCCCATTCTGTGCTCACAGGTAAAGGATGATCCTGTCTGACAGGAGGGTTCTCAAACCTCCTAACAGGAAAGAGGGACTGGCTCAGATGCTTTAGACAAGGACAACAAAAATGTTTGTAGTCATAACTGGGAGAGACTGTCCCTTGTCATAAACCCCCAGGCACAGGTGGAAGACCCAGAGTCTAATGCTCAGACCTACAGGGACCCAACCTGGGCCTGCACAGAGAAGATGCTTGGTGCAGCTGCCCCTATTCTCCTATAGCAGCCCCTATGGCCTCAATCCAGGGGAACCAAGTCCAGTAAGGGGCCTGGAGAAGGAGGCTCTAAGTTCAAAAGCTGTGATTCTTCCCTTCTGCTTGCAAGTGGAAAAAGGCAGAGATTGTGATATCTTGGACGTATCCCAGAAGGTTCTATTGCCGCAGATGGAAATATAGTCAGTACTTGGGTCTATTTCAAAGGACAGTGAGGGGTTCTGTGAAGCATGGTTTTCCCAGAGCATTTTAAAGCCAGGTAACACTAGCCCCTTGGCCTTCTTCTCTGTCCTTTCAAGGGGTCCTGAGGTATGTTTTACCAACCTGTAGCCTCTCTGGAGTTATGACCTCCCCCTCTTTGTTCCATTTTTCTATGGCTGGTTAGTGGAGCCAAGTCCCTCTGATCGTGCAAATGGGAATGTCTGGCCTGGGACAAACACACTCCAAACCTTGAGCTCTTCTCAGATGAGGGCCAGGCATGTTCCACCTTGATTTAACTCTAGACTATCCAGACAAAAAAAACAACCTGAGACCAGACAGGTAGACTAACTCTGACTCAGGGATGAGCCAAGTAGGGATCTCCTAAGTACTAGGGTCAAGATAAGCAGGTGACCTGGTCATCCTTAGACATCAGCACAGGCTTGGTATGACAGGAATGGTGGTTGGGGTTGCATACTGCCCTGGACAACCTAGCTTTCTACCTTGCAGGACCCTGTCTGGGTCTATCTCTACCTGGATAGAACTGGACCCAGAGTGGCTGGAAGCCCCCTGCTCTATTTTGTCAGTGTTCGTGACCTGCTTATTAAGGCTTAAGGGATGCCATTGGAGGGGTCCCCAAGCTTTGTCCCTCCCCCTATTGAGAGCACTTTCTGCCCTGTGGAGTACTGCCTTTGTTATGCGCCTGCCAGGAGATCCCATGACACACTGCAGAGAGCACGTGGCTGCCACTCTGGCCTCTTTCAGAAAGTGGCACATCCCTGGACACCAGCACATCTGAATATCTAGTGGTTTATGCCTGCAGTTAGAAGCAGGAGCCACCAAGCTTCTAGAAAGGCTAGAGACAGGAGCTGAAGGTAAGTCACCAGGCACATTCCAGGGCCGGTGATGTTCTCTCCTTCAGACTCTCTCAGAGTTGCTGTCCTTTCTGTGGGTCCTAAAGGTAGGGACAGGGACTTGTTCTGTGGCCCAGAGCTAAGCCATAGGGAAGACAGCAATGGCCCCACACAGGAGCAGGGTGGACCCCGCTGTCCCCATAACCACGTCCTGGGCCAGGACTGCCTGGATGGGCAGATCTTGGGCCAATTGCGCCCAGGGTCAGAAGAAGAAGACTCCTTTGAGCCTGCCTTCCCTGAGATGGATTCAGAGGACCTCCGCCTAGCTTCCTTCTACAACTGGCCGTCCACTGCGGGGATCCAGCCTGAGCCATTGGCTGCCGCAGGCTTCTTCCACACAGGTAAACCTTGGGGTCTTTTTGCTGTGGTCTGGATGCTATTTAGCACTCTTCCAGGCTAAAGGCTCTGTCCATTCCTGCCCTGAGGGAGGTGCTGATGAAAGGTTGTCTTGTTATCCCTGCCTGGCTAGGGCTTGGGGTCTACCCCACTCAAAGTCACTATGAGATCCTAAACTTGTGCCAGCCTTGTTCTGAGGGCTCCTCAGGAGGTGGGGTCTGCTGGCTGGGTGGTTTCACTCGGCTCAGACGGTTCTGAGGCTTTCTCAGGGATCCCTACCGCCATCAGCGCCTTTCAGGCTTGGAAAAGAGGTGATTAGTCCCTTTGGTTCTAGGACCCAGAGAGACAAAAAAAAAAAAAAAAAAAAAAAAAAAAGCACCCTGTGAAGTCGGTGGTCAGCTTAAGCATTCTGATTCATGCCCATCTTGTAAATAATCCTCCATGCTTCCCGAGTGCCAGGCTAGTACAGTGACCAACCCCAGGCATCCTTGGAGTACTAGTTCCAGTTACAAACCTAGAGCACTCCTTTAGCTTGGACCTTTCCTTACTCATGGTTCAGGTTCTGGCTGTATCTCTTCCTGGCTGAGAAAAAAAAAAAAAAAAGAGTCAGTGAGACCCACCACGTGGCGTTGTGGGTATGAGCACAGCCAGAGAAATTGTCACCAGTGGGACTAGAAGGAGAGGAATCAGCCATTTTCCTTGTATTGGCCAGTCAAGATTCCAAACTGATTTAAGACAACTGGAGACTGGTTATGAAGGGTCAGTGGCTGGGGCAGTTAGAGCCTCCTTGAAAATGAGTCTCCTGGAGGCCAACAGATGTTAGGGGGATTTGTGGACCAGGGGTGTCTGCTGTGTGGGATATGCCTGCAAGCAATCCTGTTTGTAACTTCTGCATGAGGTCATGAAAGGCACATCTTCCCATGGTTTGGAGAGGGGCAGAGGGTAGAGGCAAGAGAGGCCTGAGCCACTGAAACTAAGCCTGACTATAAACTGCTATGGGGGGGGGGGGGTCACCTCCTTATCCCGTCACTAGGAATCTTTCTTGCAGGCCCTAAAACTCCCAGGCTACAGATGCTTCAAGCTTTTGTCTCTACCCAACCCACATGCTCTGAGAACAACACAAATGCTAGCTCAGCCTTTCCAGAATATTCTCGGGCCCTCCTGATACACGGCCCGGGCATTGTCATTATTTGTCTTTGAGACAAGAGAGGTGCCCGTGTGCCTTGATCCCTTCTTGTTAAACTGCTGGCCTGCCCACCTGAGCTCTGGTGGTCACAGAGGGATACCCTGGGGTTGCCAGCTAGATTGGGCTACCAGCCATGTGTCTCTGCCATACCTAGGCCAGCAGGACAAGGTGAGATGTTTCTTCTGCTATGGGGGTCTACAGAGCTGGGAGCGTGGGGATGATCCCTGGACGGAGCATGCCCGATGGTTTCCCAGGTAAGGGCCCTGTGGACTTCTGGTTAATGAGAAAGGCCCCAACGAACCCTATCCAGCATCCCCCATCTCCCACAGATCTCTCTCTGGTGGAAGATAACCCCAATCTTCATGGAGCCCTCTCTAGGGCTGCTAGGGTAGGCATTCTCCTGTTGCTATCCTTTTATAGGTGCTCAGAGCCCATCTCCAGAATAGCTTTACCAGCAGGGACCCCTGGGGGATACAGCCCTGACTAACTGTCAAGGGAATAGTGGGTTCCATGGGAATCTCAAAGGCTCATAGGGCTTGAATGTGACAGGGGGCCTCTACGAGTTCAGTCCTGCCTCCTGAGCTCTCTTCTCCAGGTGTCAGTTCCTGCTACAGTCAAAAGGAAGGGATTTTGTGGAACGAATCCAGACATACGCCCCCTTGCTTGGATCCTGGGTAAGTCCATCCATCCTCAGGACTGAGGTGGGTTGGCAGTCTCTGCTTTGTTTACTTAAGGCATTGATGGCTCTCTAACAGGACCAATGGGAAGAACCAGAAGAGGCAGCCCCTGCCAGCCCCTCAGGTGAGCCTTCCACAGAGCCCCTGCTGTTTAGTTGGCATTGGCAACCTGCACGAGGGTAGGGCTGCTGTGTATCCCCACCTGCCAGTCAGCAAGGAGGGTGGGGACTGTGTCCACATGTTATGTGTCCAGAGCACAGTTAAGACCACTGCATCCTCTCGCTCTTAGTGAGAAGGCTGCTAAAGACACCAACCAAACTTGGGGTGTAGCTGTATGCTGGGCTGGTTCTGCTGGGCTCTAGCCACAGCTTCTGAAAGCCAACTGGGCTGCAACCAGAAGCCTGTTGAACAGAGCCACAGAGGATACAGCTTTCCAAATCCCTTCCTTGAGCCCTGTGGGTCAGGGATCTGAGTTCTTCCTGGACCCCTAAGGGGACTCCTGATTCCAGGGACCACATGACCAGCTTGCCAACATTTTGGCCACAGGCAAGTGGCTTTTCTCCCCAGTCCTCATTGTGACATGAGGCACATGATATGTGACATGACAGCACTAACGTATTTCAAAAGCACATGAGTCTGTTGGACACTTTGGTGCTTCACAGGGTTTTGTCTAGTGTCGTCCCCAGTGATGGTGGCACCTCTAGATAGAGGCTCTGAAAACACAGCATCCTTAGTGTAAGAGGGTTGGACCTTTACCTGTGCCTTCTGGGAACACAGATCTATGTGTGTATAGATGGAGCATGCCACAGACCACCAGTCTTTCTTTATAACCCTGAGACCTTGGGTTCTCCCTCTCTCTCTCTCTCTCTCTCTCTCTCTCTCTCTCTCTCTCTCCCTCTGCCTTAAAGACACTAGCGGAAACTGGCAATGGTTACCATGGACCCAAAGCCCAGGTGTGCCCAGCCACAAATGGTGGCTGTCTTGCTCCAGAAGGAGGAGGGTCACATGGCAAGAGCCAGAGATACTTCTACCCCTTTCTAGGCACTGCCTGGCTCCCCATGTCTCACTCCTCTGGATATCCATCACTCTTTGTTTCCTGACCTTTCCAAAGTGGCGTGTATATATAATCTATGACCATCTAACCTAAGGGGCTGGGCAGGCAGAGTACCCAAGTGGAAGTCGGGGTCCTTGGTGGCCTCAAGGAAGCCTCTGGCCTTGAGCTTATGAGCAGCTGAGTGCCATACAAAAGCCTCCACTCTCTAGTACAGAACTGGATCTTGGTGGCTGCTAGACCTTCTTTGGACTAGGCCTCCCTTCCCTCACAGAAGCTAAGCCTTCAACCCATTCCTATTAACTGTCTACAGCTCCTGCCCTTGGAGGCCCTGAGTTACTCACATCCAGAAGAGAGACCCAGCCTGAAGAAGCCAGTGAGCCAGGTATAGCCAGGACCCAAATGAGGTGGATGGGCCACGCTCTTTCACGGGAGGAAGTGTGAAAGAACATGAGGGATAAGAGGGTGGGCCTGTGTAACAAGCTTACCCCGCCCCCTGAGGAATCAGTCTCCTGGGCCCTGAGGGTGCTGGTGAATTCTTGAGTCCCCAGGAGCTGGGGATGTGCAGGAACAGCTGCGACAGCTGCGGGAGGAGCGGACGTGCAAGGTGTGCCTGGACCGGGCCGTATCTGTGGTCTTCGTGCCCTGCGGCCACTTGGTCTGTACTGAGTGTGCCCCCAACCTGCAGCTGTGCCCGATCTGCAGGGTGCCCATCTGTAGCTGTGTACGCACCTTCCTGTCCTAAAATCAGGTGAGGCCCAGGGTGTCCCCAGCATCCTTCCCGAAGCCTGGATGCAACCTGAGTGTCTTGCTTCCTAAGGCTAGCAGCAGCATTCTAGAGATGGCCAGGCCACACTCCTTCCTCCTTCCACCCGTCAGCTCCACTCACTATTTTGAATCCTTCATAGGTAGAGTCAGAGGAAAGAGGTCTAGGGGGACACCTCTCATTTAACTGGACATCAAGGTGTTTAAGTCAGGCTTTGGAGGCCAGCTTCAGAGACATGCAGGCTGGATTTGGGCTTGGTGCTCATGCAGTGGGTGGGTTGGCGGGGGGAACAACTTTTACATAAATGTGTTCTACCATGTCCTGGCTGAGAGACAGGAGCCATGGTCTTCTTGGGCTCTTTGAGGTCAGTGTGTCCCCAAGATGTGTCTGAGAATTCTCTGAACAAGGTGGTAGGTCAAGGAAGTCCCTGAAGCCAACGACTCCTGGCTCAGACAAGTCTGACGAGAAAGGAACTCATACATGCTTCCTCTTCTCCCTCCAGGCACTACACCGCAAGGTGGGCCCCCTGCCCACCTCAACCTGTTTCAGAGCGGACAGTGGGTCTCCTGAGGACATTCAGTGTCCACCACAGACATAGTACAGCCCGGAGAAAGAGTTTCTGGCTGGTGTGAGGGGTGATTCTGCTGTAGCTTTTTGGGTCTATTTGAAGATAATAAAGTAGAAGGCCTCACCTTCGTGCTCAGCTAGGCTTTATCCCAGGCACCCACTGCCATGTCTCTTAGTCCATGTTGGACAGGTCTCTGCTGCTTCTTACCCACAGAACAGCACCTGTCAGGGGTCCGGTCCCCTCTTCACAAGTTCTTTCCCACTTTGGAGAAAACACCCTTTCTGACCTTGCACTGTATTCTACACTTCCAGAATAGACTGGCCTCAGGTGCCTCTTGAAAATGCACTTCTAATTACTCACCAGCCTCGTGTATTTCCTAATTCGGTGGCTGTCCCCAGGGTCTTTCTTTCTGAATGGTGCTATCCACTTTCTACAAAGAAGACTCTATGTGGTAGCTCCAGGCTCCATGTTTCACCCATGGTTCTCTCCTTGTTTGAGAATGGCAGGGCTTCTGGTCCAGCTCCAGGGACTGCACTGCCTCAGCAGGGCCCAGGCCTTTGTCTGAATAAGACTTACAGTTGGGATACTGCAGTATTTATTCAAGGCCTCTTGGTGGCTTGTAGAGACTTACTGGTGGGACTGAACATTCTTTTTTTTTTTTTATTTAATAGAAATTTTTTATTAATATATTTTTATTTATTACAATTTATTCATTCTGCATCCCAGTTGTAGCCCCACCTTCATTCCCTCCCAATCCCGCCCTCCCTCCCTTCTTCATCTCCTCTCATGCCCCTTCCCCTGTTCACTGATAGGGGAGGACCTCCTCACCATCCATCTGACCCTAGCCTATCAGGTCTCATCAGGACTGTCTTTCATAGTGACCTGGTAAGGCTGCTCCCACCTCAGGGGGAGATGATCAAAGAGCCAGCCACTGAGTTCATGTCAGAGAGGGGACTAAACATTCTTACTGTCCTCTGATGGGCAATTTCCCTGGCAGCAGTCTGTGGTTTGCAGATCTTGTAACCCCAGGACAGAGCACCCAGGGAACTCTTGGGAAAATTACCCAAGTTTGCTGCCAGCTGCCCAAGAAGACGAGGGATGAAATTTTTTTGTTTCTATATTCTCTCATGTATTTTCTTGTTTGTTTGTTTGTTTGTTTGTTTGTTTAGAAAAAAGAAATCACAAATTGCAGTTGTAGCCACTCTGGCCTGTATTATCCCCTGCCCCTCACTGGTATCCAAGGTGAACTTGAAAATATGCTAGGCAGGGAAGCAGGGCTGTGACTCCAGGCCTCAAGTCTCCTCATTGTTTTCATGGTTGAAGCTGGGTTGCAGGAGCAGGGTCAGCCATTCCCTTACTTATGCAGGCCTGTGGAGAAGGCAGAGATCAGAGCAGCGTAAAAGAGAGAGGACAGTATCCTTTCCCTTAGAGACCTCCAAATCAACAAAACAAAACAAAAAACCGAAAACCACAAAACCAAGGAAGGGACAATTACTCAAAGCATATGCTAGGCACTAGGCTTCGTCATGCCCAGGGCAGCTACTAATCTTATACTCTGATAACCCTGGCCCATCCCTATGGAACTGGAAGTGGAGTGAAGGTTTCACCCTGGTCAAACTCCTCACTGAAGAGAAATCTCACAAGGCCTGCTGCCCCTATTCATGGAGATCTATTGAGCCCATGCTTGGCTTAGGAGCTAATCAGTCAGGACTGAAGACTTTGCAGCTGGCAGCCTGCAAGAGGCTCCTCCCCTTCCTCAGTCTGTATTTTCTCCATCATTCATCTTGGAAGCTGAAGTCCCGCTACGCTACTTCTGATACCCATTATCCATAATAGCCTAGGATTCTCTGAAGTCAGGGGTTAGGGATCTCCGGGATCAGGTCAGCTGAAGGCAGCTTCACTGAGAGAACCTATCTGACCTCAATCTGACCTATGCCCTATCTGACCTCAATCCCAGGACCACCAGGAAGCCCAGGCACAGCCATGAGATGTACAAGGCTGCAGCGCTGCTCTAGAGAAGGAAAAGTGACCGGCCAAATATAGGCAGCAGCCACCCAATATCCCCTATACTTCCTGAAACATTGAAGTCCCTGGGGAGTGGCCTGTCGGTATCCCTCCTATTCCTGAGACTCTGGGACCTAGTTATCATAGAATGTACTCATGCTGAGCTCTGAATTCAACAAGAGTTCTACAACCACTGTATCCCAACACCTAACCAGAACATGACCTTAGGGGGGTGATGGATGGATAGATGGATTGACAAACAAATGCCTGATAAAGTCTCCAAGGAGAAGAGCCTTGTGTTGTGAGCACTCTAATGCAGGCTGAGTGGGCCATACTTACAAATATGCCTGCTTGGACAAGAGGCTGGACGGCTTTTCATTGACATGGTACAGGGGGAATGGGTCAAATCCACCAATGAAATCAACTGAAAGAAATCAAGCCCAAATAAAATAAAACCCAAATGATGGAAAAGATGGCAGAATGGAAAACATTCCCAGTGGCAGATTCCCAACAAGAGGGGCACTGCCAGTTCTTGTGAAGGAGTACAGGCACAACCCCCAAATCAGTCCCCTGTTGTATCTGAAACCCTTGCTGGGATCTATCTGGGGCACTGTGTACAGTTTTCTGGCTCTGTGGTCTGAGCGAACCTTCCTAGAAGGGTGTCATGTGGGGAGGCCAACAAGGGCTTCATCCCACCCTGTCAGACTCTCCCCATCATCCCTGTGGACTTCCCTAACATCAAGCACTTGCCCCACACTAGGTTGGGCAAAATTAATGTACGTCTGAAGCTCAGGGCTGGCTGCAGTTCTGAATTCAAACAGCAGGTGGCGCTCCTGCTTCATCCCCAGCAGCCCAGCGGTAGCCTGGGAGATCAGGCAGCACCAGGGGCTTGAGCCCGGGCTCAGAGACCATCCCTCACCAGCCTCTAAAATCAAGCCCAAATCTCTTCAACATGGGAACAGCTGACCCCATGACCCAACTCTCCGGGGCATATGGCTTTGAATTTCAATTCTGACTCTGGGGAAGGGTCTATCCACAGGAGCCCTGACTGTCTTCCCACCCTGTCAATCCTTTTTCTGCAGGGACTTTCCATGAGGAGATGTCAGGGCTGGGGGTCCCCAAAGGGATGGCTTGAAGCATTACTGTGTTATGCTGCAAATAACAGTTAAGTTGAAAGGGGTCTTCACGCAGATGGACAATCTGTCCAAATAGGTCCCGCCTAGTACTAAGTGTCAATCAATATGGGTGCCATGCTACTGAAGACTCAGACTTTCCTGGGGCCAGTGTGGGGTCATAAGGATAGGTGTCCTTGGACCTGAGGGCTGCTCTTCTCCTCTCCATAAACAGCCCCTCCCACCCCAATTCTCAGATCTTTGTGCCGTCACCACTATGGTCAGACATGGGGCATCCCTAAGGGACACCTTCAGGCCCTACTGTACACTTACAGCTGTCCTCTTCTTCTGTAAGCACACTGACCACGTAGCAGCCATAGACGAAACCCAGGAGCTGAAAGACACCAAGAGGCCAGACATGCCAAGCCATCTCCCTGCAGCAGCATCATAGGGACTGTGCAGATGAGCCAACGTGTACCTGACAAAAGCCCTGCGTCTCCCAAGCCTCAGTTTCCTCCCCTTTAAAACCAAACTGTGACACTGACCTGAGTTGCTTCCCCAAGCTTCCACTTCCCGGATGTCTCAGTTCTCCCTTGACCCACTACTCAGTGAGCAGCACGTGAGCGAGGAAGGTGAGCAAGCCAGTCTGAAGGGTGGTATCCGTTTCCCTTTTCAGGGCTTGGAGAACTGGACATGGAGAAAGACCTGGACTTTCCCATGGAACGTAAGCACCTGAGACATAGTTCGGAGGGGGCAGGACTGTGCCCTGTGTCCTCTGAGCCGAGACATTTAGGCCTGCATTCTCTATGTCATCACATAGTGTCCTGTGAGCCCCTTCCCCTCAGTTCCAGCAGAGGTCCAGGGTACAAGCCCTCCCCCCACATTTAGACTCTGTGTCTGGCATGCAAGGCTGGCTATGTGGTCAGGATGGTTATTGGACTAGGTTGGATAGTGAGGAACCCAGCAGATCCGAGAGAAGGAATAATCAGCCCCCATAACTGGTCGGTCACTTTCCTACAAAGCTGCCTCCCTGCCCTGGTGCTGGCAAGTCATTCTTTGTCTATTATTTCAGGTCCCAAGATGCTGCCATGAATCTCAGGAGAGTGTACTGCCCCTGTGGGCCCCCACAGAATACCTGTATCATGTCCACTCACCTCCCTGCCTGACAACAGCTTTGCCTGAGGGGAACTGTCTCTGTCTTTTTAGGACCCTGGATGATTTGGTGCGCCCAAATATTTCAAAAGGTACAGCTAATCAGGAACTCTAGTGAGTTCTTAGAGAGCCAGAGAGAAGGCATTTCAGGACACTACGGCTAGGAGTGGCCTCACAAGTGAAAGCACTGGAAGCTGCTATAGAGGTGACAGGAAGGTATACAGTGTTGTGAGCGTGACTGGAAGGAAGCAGGACCTTCTGGATATGCAGCAGGTCCCTTTGCAGAAGCAACAGGCAGCTTCGAGGGATTCACTTACCCACACTGACCTGCCCAGCAGCCCTCCAAGAAGCCACCATACCCTCCTGGCAAAGAAGACTGCACTTCATCAGATGGAAGCTGGAAATGCGTGAGCTCAGTGCCTGTGAGATGCTACCTAGCTCAGGGGCAGGCCGTGGTCCCCCTGGGCCTCCAGAATTCTAGGAATGAGTCCAGAACTGAGCCTGCAAGTCCTTCTCACTGTGAAGAGAGCGGCCTGAGATGTCACTCACACAGTCTTTTGTGATTCCCTGGGACAGCCTGAAGTGGAGGATCATACCCCAGAATTGGCCCCCCAAGGAAAGTTGGTCAAAATGCTGAAACATGGACAGGTTCTCGTAGGGATGAGACTCTGTCCAAACTGGCATCTACTCTGCCTTAAGTCATCCTACCTGCACACTCTTGCCTTCTTTTCCCACCACTTCTCCTGTCCACCCTGTTCACCCAGATCTTCCCTGAATGAACATCCATTCCACTCTGCCTCTTCGGGAAGCTTTCTCTCCCCTTGGCCTTTTTGTACTAGTGGTCTGACAAAAACTAAGCCTGACACTTTCTTATACTATCCAAAGTGAACAACAGAGAGGGCCCTTTTCTACAGGAAAAACAAGAACAAGCAGCCCAGATGTGTGAGCTGGTATTCCATTTGAGAAAGTATGGCTGAAGGCTATCTCCCCACAGGCATACAGAGTTTCCTTCCTCCGGCATCCGTCCCACCAAAATAATTCTGTACAGCAAGACCTTCATTTGTCTTTCTAGTTGCCAGTTACTGTCTTTTCAGAGTCTGCAATTTTAGAACTCTTGACAGAGACTCTTGACTGATCAGTTCTTTCTCTTCTGAGGACCATACTTGGGTTCCCTCATGGTTTTGAGGGCAACTGGGATCCTCCCCAGTGTCTGAATGAGTTACACTGGGAGAGAAACATAGCTGCAGCTTCTGTAGTGAAGGCTGAACTTGATCAGGGTGCCCAGGCCAGGAGTGGAGGGGTAGTGCAGGCCACAAGGCCACCTGCACTGTCCGCCTCACACTTTCTTGCATCTTGGATGTCTTCAGATGTAGAATTCAATTCCTACCATCAGTTGCTGATTGTCCTGTGAACTTGACCTCTACCAAGCATGGTGTGCCTGGGAAAGTTGGGGGCCTCAAGATGTGACTAGGCTTCTCCATGGACCAACCTGGTTGTGCCTAAGGTGTGGCACCCACAATCCTATGGGCTGTGCTGCTGCTGCTGCCGTTCTACAGTTTCCTAAACCCCTCCTTCCTACCCCATTGAGTCCTTCTATCAAAATGGCCTTCATTTTAAGAAGTGATTAACTGAGGTACAGAGAGGCCGAAGGGTTCACTAAGGCACACAAGTAGAAAAGTGACACTACTTGGGCCCAGGAGCTGTCTCCCTAACCACTGTTCTTTACCAATTTGAGCAGTGCTAGAGAGGTCTAAAGAGTCAATTCCATGTTTACCAGATAGGGCTGTTCTTTAGTTTCATGAAACAGGTATGGTGGTGCACTCCTTTAATCCCCACATTTTGGAGGTAGAAGAGGCAGGCAGAGCTTTATGAGTTTGAGGCACGCCTGATTTTACACAGAGTTCCAGGATAGCCAGGACTATACCGTGAGATTTTTATCTCAAAATTGTTGCAATTATTCATTTTATGCGTGTATATATATTTTATGGTGTGTGTACATGTTTGTTCAGGTCTGTGTCCTTGTGAGTGCATGTGGAGGCCAGCAGAGAACTTCAAGTGACTTGCTCTAGTACTCTGTACCTATTGCCTTCAGACAGGGTGATGGGATCTGAATTCAAGGCCTGATGCTTGTGAAACAAGTGCTCTTACTCACTGAGCCAGCTCACCAGATGCCTGACATGTTTTACATGGGTTCTGGGGGACTGAACTCATGTCCTGTGCTTGCAAAACAGGTGTTTTACTAACTGCTCTATCACAGCCCCGTTTTATTTTACAGAAAGGGTTTTGCTATATATCCAGGCTGGCCTTGAATTAGAAATCCTCCTCCCCCCATTTCTCATATGCCGGGATGGCAGGCTTGTGTCACTATGCCAGCTTTCTCCTGTTTATACAGATATAAAGCCAGAATTTGGCCTCTATGAGGGCCCAAATATGTGGGGCCCTACCCTGAGCCACGCTGAGGTAGCAGGCCCCCTAGCATAGGGATCCAGGCTCAATGGCTGCAAGGCATTAATAGCAGCTTCTGCAGCCCCTTTCTTTTCCTAGACAGGATAAGGTACCCTGGTGTGGCTGGATGAGGCCCTGACTGGCCTTCAAAAAGACTCCTGGTGACATCTTTCTCTGTGGACAGCCAGGGAGACTTCACGAGTCAGCATCTGCTTGGTCTTTCCAAGACTCCAGTCCCTGCACCAACCCAAATGCAGACACATAGGTAAAGCACCCAAGTCTAGACCCACCCTGAGGGCACCAGGACAAGATGTTCTACCGCACGGGGCTCTGTCCTGGAATGATAGGGCTTGGGACACAGTAAGAGGTCCAGTGACTGGCAGTGAAGGAGCCCAGACTTAACACTGGATCCAGAGGATTAGTGTTCTGCAAAGGGACATAGTCCACCTGGACCACCTGAGCAGGGTGTGAAAGGCCTTGAGAGCAAAGAGAGGGCTGGAGACAATAATGGGAGTTTGTATGTCCCTGAGGCCCACTCTGGATATGAAGGGTTCTTCAGAAAGGCTCCTGTGCCGTTGGCTTGTCTTCAGCAGGTGGTGCTGTTGACAGGTAGCCTGAGGACCTCATAGTCTCTTTGCCATCTGCTGTTTCTGAGTTGAGGGTTTGTCTTAATACTTCTGTTCTATAGATAGCTAAAGAAGAGTCCAGCCTGGACTCAGTCCTTGTAATAGCTGTGAAGTCTCAGAGCAAACACGCGGGCCACATATCCCTCATCCCCAAAGATGCCACAACTTCCTGTGCTTGGTAGACCATGCCAAGTCCAAACCTTGGGCCTTGCAAGGAGGCTGAAGCCTGAGCTACTGTGCTGCCATGGCAGTAAGACAGATCTGCAGAGAAGCCTACCTCTGTCCCAGCCCCTTAGGTGCCTCCTTGGGCCTCTCCTCCTACTGCCTTTTCTGCACTCTCCATAGCTCCCTGGCCAGCTAAATGGGCTAAGGTCCTGAGGAAAGGCCTTTGGGGTCCTCAGGTCATTTGGTACCTCATGGCCCTGCACCCCTGAATTCTGCCTCCCACCCTTCTCCATCAGAGCTGTAACGTCTCAGTTTCTTGCAATACTGAGACTTGTATCTCCCTAGAGGCTCAATGTAGACAACCTGAGAGTCCAGGGAGGATGTGACCACCAACAGGACAGTGGCACCTGACACTTGCTAGTGATTCACTGCTAAGAAACTTTTCTACATGCTCAATAGTTACCCAGACACAGTCAGTCCCACATCCGACACAAGAGCTTCCTGGACACAGAACTGGCCTGCTGTTCTCAGAGCAGGACTCCTGGAGAGCAGCAGTATCTCACAGTGCTAGGAAATCATTCAGATCCTCACACTGTTCCCTGTCTCACAGCATCTGTTCTGTGGCAGACTTCTCAGAGCAGTGGGCTCACAGCCAGCCCACTTGCCCACTGTGTGTCAGGAAGTGTGCCCTCTGCCCTGCCTTCTCATTTTACACCTGAGATGAGAACTTGTGAAATATCCCCCAAGGGCCCTGAGACTCAGGGAAAGCACTGAAGTGCTACCCAAATGAACAGACCTACTGGGGTTAAAAAATGTCATCAGTGGTGCCCACTTGCAGCCTTACCAGCTGGTCTGGGCCTTCTAGCTCCTTTTCACTGCCCTACTGGGGTCTTTAGATTACTTCCTTGTCTGTACTACTCATCTGCTAGGGAGATACAGGGACATCCATCTTCACCTTTGCTGTTGCTGTTCCTGGTTGCCTGGTACTCCACAGCATCACCAGAGGCTGAAGTTTGATTCTGGTTCTGAGCTTGTCTTACCAGAAGAACAATGAAGCTCTGTGGTAGTCTGAATAAGAATGACCCTCATAGGCTCATGTATTTGAATGTCTGCTCAGCAGGGAATGGCACTATTTCAAAGGATTATAAGAATTAGAAAGTGTAACCGTATGATGGAGGAAGTGTGTCACTGAGGCTGGGCTTTGGGGTTCCAAACCCAAGCGAGGCCTAGTCTCTTTCTATGGATCAGGATATAGCTCACAGCTACTTCTCCAACATCATGCCTCCCTAAGCTGCCTCACTCTCCAGCATGATGATAATGGACTAAACCTCTGAAAATGTGGACAAATCTCCAATTCAGCGCTTTCTTCATATGAGTTGCATTGGTCATGGTGTCTCTTCACAACATAGAACAGTGACTAAGATAGGCTTGAGGTTAGAAGCCCACGTGTGATTTTATTTCTTGCAGGATATGGAGGCAATCCCGCTTAACAAGGAGGAAAGCTGGTGCCCTTATGTGAGAGAAAAGCTCCAACTCTGCCCCAGGTAGAACAAGCCCCAAGCCTAGGTACGTGTCCCCACACTCACCGCCAGCAGGATCTGTAGGCCGCTGTGTAGAGCTTCCACATAGGTGTGCGCCATGGCACAGCCAGCACCCATCACCAAGGACTGGCCATGTAGTGTCCCTAGGCCAGCTGTGGCTGCCTGTTCATGAAGACAGCCTGGCCCATGCTCTTCCCACCAGGAGCGATGCCGGGAGAGCTTGAAGGTCAAGAAATCACTGTCCTGGGGACAAAGAAACAGGAAAAGTTAGTATCAGGAGGCAGCCAGCCTCTACCTACCACAGCTTGGCGTAGGGAAAGATGAAGGAGCCAGTCTCCACCCTTTCCTCTTAGGCTTTAGCTGCATCAAACAGGAACAAATGTTCCCAAACTGTTCCTCAACAGGAAAGCCTGATTTTCTTGGCCCTCAGCCTTCACACCCCTTCCTACAGGAAGGTCCCCTGCCTGGGGAAGACCTCAGGCCTCACTATTATTGAATCCAGTTTCCTCAAAACCCTCATTCATGTCCCTGGCTGAAGCTGCCACAGTGGGTCTTGGGTCTCATGTCAGTTATTTCCTTTTGGGGACTGGCATAACCCCAGTCAGGGCTAACTCAGTCCCCCACACCACTATGTGTCTCTCTAGACTAGGAGAACAAATATGCACAATCCCAGAGCTTCCTCAGACATCACATGGCAGTTGGCCAGGGCAGAATTCTTCATGTGGCCACAAAAGGAAGGTCTCTGCTTGTGCCCCAATCCCATCATTCTTTGAGAAGGACACACCTACACACCTCTGCCAGATGTCTACTCATTCCCAACAACTCCTCCCTGGTAGTGCCTGGTTCCAAGACCCTTTTCCAAGAGACCCACCCTCTGTACTACACAGCCTGAGGCCCTGGCCCACTGACACCCACGATGCCTTACCAAAAACGTTACCACCCACAAACCAGTCTTCCCAAAATACTACAGCACTGATCACAGCCAAAGTAGTCTTGGTGCTGCCGTCAGCACTGTATTTCAAGTTCCCACCACCATTAAGAAACATGCAACGAGTTGAATCGAGCGTCACATGGTGATCTGGCCAAAACCCAGTGGCTGAACCCCTTCCTATTTTTACTCACCTTTGAGAGGCCCCCCACTTCCAGGTAGAAGCAGATAATGAAGACGTTCCAGGTAACCCAGACAGCTGCCCATACAGCATACTAGGGAGGCCAGAAAGGACAGGGCAGAAGTTGAACCCAGCAGCTTCAGAGAGGGGATATCAGATTCTCTCCAACCCCCTGGAAGAAAGCCCTTGAACTTGCAGCAAAGTCGGGACTCCCTAAGTCTGACCTTCCCAATGCCGAGCTTGGAAAGGCCTCCCTAAACCCACCTTGGCCAGGTGGTAATCTAAGACATTCTGCCCAAGCTGCTACCAAGGGTGGTGGGGGCTCCTACGCCTTGCATAGAGGCAGCCAAGCACAGTGGACTTACCACCACAATGTAGCGTGGCCGATACTGAATGGTGCCAAAGAGTCCCAAGATGACCACGACGATGTGGACGAAGTTGGCAAGGATGGGTGCCCACTGGTAGCCCAGGAAGTCAAACACCTGCCGTTCCAGAGCAGTGACCTAAGAACAAGTGGCCCATGAAGAGCAATGGACCTTAATGGGCCACCTCCAGATTTGCCTCCCTCCTAAGTACCCCTCACATCTATCTTAACATCTGTACTAAGTGGGCCACAACCTCCTCCTTAGCCATAACCATGAGCAGAATTGTGTGCCTGTGACGTGGCCTTTCGAGCAAAAATCATCAAGTCTGACAAGCCCAAATGTCACCCCTAGAGTGTTCCTTCCTCCCTTGAGCTGGGCTGCTCCCTTGTCCCCAGGCCCTCATCTGGAGACCCAAAACACCAGAGGTTTGTTTTTTTTTTTCTCTCTCTTTTGTTTTTGTTTGAGACAGAATCTCTCTACACAGTCCTGGCTATCCTGGACTGTGTTAGGCCTCAATCTTGACAATTGGCCGAGGTGCCTAATTAACATATCAGACAGGTTCTCCCAGCATCCTTCAGTCCCTACCTGTTACAGGCCCTCCTGGCTACCATACTCTGACCCCTACCCTGAACTATCCAGCCCAGGGGCTGGGCTACCCTCCCTCATCTGGAAGTCCTTATATAATCCAGCCATTTTGGTTTCCTGGTGTTTTTGTCTGCCCTTTACCCACCTGGCCTCTTGGTCTGGCTCTCCCCTCTTTCCTCCCCCTTCTCCTCACATGACTCAGGGTCATGTCCATTCTGGACTCTCCCAGATGTCCCTGCCTCTGGCAATTCTTTCCCTTTATCTGCAATAAAACTTTTCCTCCACCATACCTAGACCAGTCATGTCCTTTCCTTTTTATTTATTTATTTTTCATTCAGAACTCATGTAGACCAGACTAGCCTTGCAATGACAGAGATCCACCTGCCTCTGCCCGCAAAGTGCTCTGACTAAGATCATGCACCATCTGCCTGGCACATACCCAAGGCTGTTTTAATTGGGGGTGATGAGGGGACATAAACAAGAAGCACAGATCCTCAAGTGCCTAGCTGCTTTGGTGGCAGATGAGACCTGAGTCTGCACAGGGTACTGAACACAGAGCCCAGAGAATCCACTGTCTCCTGGTAAGTGATCTTTCTGTGGTTTTCCTGAGGCCAGTTGTGGATAAGATGATGGCTCTTATCCTCACAAGCTGGCTACATTTCTCTTCTGGGGACACTCATTAGATGCCGTAGCTCTGAAGACACTGTCCTCCATGCAGGTAGGCAGAGAGATCAATGGGAAAGAACAACTGATATAAAGGAATGTGTTTTATACTTAGGGAAAATAGACTCATGACAAGAAGAATCAAGACTCTAAAGCATCCGCCCACCTAACTATCTGTACATTCATCATCTGTCATCCATCCATTTACCCGTCATCCATCTATCTACCCATTTCTTCATCTGCCTACACATTCCTTCCTGCTTCCATCTATTTCTCCACCTCTCTATCCTTCTTTTGACACCATCCAGCCTTCAATGGGCTTCATTGCATGTGCAGATATAGGTGAAGGAGAGAAAGTAGGGCTAAATCCACTATTTTCTAATACCTTCTCTGGAGTCACTGTGTTGAAGGTGACAAAAGTTTGCCCAGGAAGGACTAAAACGGATGGGCTACATTCTGGAAGAAAAGCAATGTTAAAGGGGCAGCACAGGGGATCTGAGCCTGTGACATTCACTGGGCCCCCGTGTATCAGCAACCAGGACAGCACTGGAAATGCTGACCAAGAGTGGCTTCTTGGCTGGTTGATGGTGGCACACGCCTTTAATCCCAAGCACTCGGGAGGCAGAGGCAGGCAGATCTCTGAGTTCAAGGCTAGCCTTGTCTACAGAGTTCCAGGACTACATAGAGAGACTCTGTCTTGAAAAACAAAACAAAAAGTGGCTTCTAGTATGAGAGTGAGAAACAAATCCATGCTAGCTAGTTTTATGTCAACTTGACATAAGCCAGAGTCTATTGAGAAGAAACAACTTCACCACATTGACCTGTGGGCAAGCCTGTGGTGCATTTTCTCAATTAATGATTGGTGTGAGAGGGCCTAGCTCATTGTAGGTGGTCATTCTGGGAGCTGTAAGAAAGCAGGGTGAGTAAGCCATGGGGAGTAAGCTAGTAAGCCACAATCCTCCATGGCCTCTGCCCCTGCTCTGGCCTCCAGGTTCCTTTCTTGCTCCGACTTCCCTCAGTGATAGAGTGTGACCTGAGAGTTGTAATATGAAATAAACTCTTTTCTCTGCAAGTTGTTTATAGTCATGGTGTTCTATCAACAATAGAAACCCAAAGGCAAGACTCCTCACAGTGGTGAAGGCCCTCTCCAAGGCCGGATAAGCCAAGATCAAGAGAAAGGCAATGCTGACTGGACTGGCCTGGCCTGGGGGTAAAAACTACCTCCATCCTCACATGACCTCATGCCATGTGTCAAGTCTGAGTTCAGTAATTTGGTCACTAGGTTGGTCGGCCAGAGACACTGACTTCAGTGAAAGTACCGGTTCCTCCCTGCTGCTTGGGGTCTGTATGATGGGACCGGATCCCAAAGTCTGCTGACAACATCCAGGAAACATCTGCAATTGGGCATGCTTTGGCATTGCCCTGGCTGCTGTGAGTGGACCGGAGTGGTGAGTAGTCCAAAGAAGTCTCAAAAGAAGACTGTTAACAAGCATGCTCTACAGGAGTCTAGGTTTCTCTGGGTGATGGCTGACTTGGGCTGCTAAGTGGAGAGGTAAAGGCAGACCTTCTATCAACACCAAGAATGGCCCAACAGAATCAGTTTAAGATGGGCCCCACAAAAGCCACAAAGTGCTCACATTCACTTCCCCCCAACCAATCACAGAGTTCCCAAAGCCATCCGCTCCTCCTATGCAGAGAGCTCATACCCTCTGCCCCATCTTCTATCAGAGTGCTCACACCAGTTGTCCCCACTCCTGTCAGAGTGTTTATGCCCACTGCCCCTACTCCTGTCACAGAACACTTATGCTAAAAAAAAAAATCCCTCTTATGTCACAGATCCCACTGTTCCCCCTTCCTGTCACAGAATACTCACACTCAGTGCCCCTTTTCTGTCAAAGTGTTAACACATACTGTCTTCTCTCATGTCACAAAGCACTCGGACCTGCTGGCTCCTAGTGGGTCTGTACCATGTCTCATGATTGCAGCTGTTGATGAGCCAAGTTCTGCTCACCAAGTTCCCACCTCCAAAGAACCTTCCTAAAGCTAGCCCCCTGGAAATGTGTCTCTCTATACATGAGTAAACTCCTCAATGACGCACATGGACACTGGAGCAGTTCCTTATGGGCAAATTTCACATCGGTCAGTTCTCAAGGATCAGCTCTCAGCTCTGTCCTTTCACAGTGTGGCCAGAGGGATGCTTGACCAAATCTTTGACTCCTGGTTAGGCCTGACAGGCTGTTTGCACTAAGGAAGAGGATTGGCCAGCACCAGCTCTCCATGGGCAGACATAGCTGATCTAGCCAATTGCTCCCACCTCTTCATTCACATGGAAGCCATGCATGGAGGGATCACTGGAGAGCTCTGCAAAAGCTTTGCTTATTTTTACAAGGAATCATTTGTCTGCCTTCTAGCTACATCATCTCTAAGGAATTGGGAGTCGGTGTCTCAGTCAGGACACTCTTCTCATTGGAATATGCCAAGAATCCTTCCAGGGTTGTTTAAGAGTCTGCTCTGCCTGCAGGCAGCAAGCATGGGCCAGTGTTGGGGTGATATAAAGATGGCTGGTTCCAGGTTCTCTGACGGTTTTGTCTGAGGTGAGGACAGCATGAATATAAGCTGGGGGTTTTTCCTTTCCTGACCATGAATATAAGCTGGGGGTTTTCCACACCCACAGTGGTGCCAGATGCTACTTGAACTATGCAGTGTGTACAGCAGGTGCCCACATAGGCTTGTCAGATGCTGTAGCCAGTTAGCAGCCAAAGACAAGAGGACAGCTCAGGAGCATCCACCTTCTCATGTGGTAAGGCTTAAGACAGTCTTAATGTTGAAACAGTGCAGGGACTATACAGAGAAATGAACGATGGGGTGTGAAAGAAACCCAATTGTGTGACTTTCAAATGATTCAGAAAATCAACACAAGTAGAGACATCCAGTGAACTAGGTGCTAGGGATGAATCTGAAAATCCCTTACAGGCTTATGTTATAATGTTTGCTCCCCAGTCGGTGACAGTTTTAGCAGTCAGTGTTCTTAAGGCTCTCCCCCTGAATGTCCTCAGGAAGTCAGGCCTAACTGGTACAAATGAGTCAACAGTGGCAGGTCTTTGAAGGCTGTGCTCATCCCTGGTTCCCACCTGTGTTTTGTTTCCACATGAACAGCCACCGTGACACGCTCTCACCACCAAGGGGAGCCACTCGAGTGCCGTAACTTACCAGCTATGAACGGAACTCTGAAGCCGGGAACTAAAATAAAGCTCTTCTTCCCTGAGGTTGTTCATGTCAAGTGTTTAGTCACAGCAATTAGGAAAGTGACTCATATCAAGGTAGGCCTGGCCTGGCCTGCCCCTCCACGGTCTAGCCTCCTAATCAAACTGCCTGCATCCTTCCTGAAACCCTCACTAATATAAGGGAGTGGAGTGGCAGGCAGAAGAAGCAAGTGGGGCTTCTGTCCCCTCCAAAGAATAAACGAGCAACACCCCAAACACCTCTTTCAAACATAAACTAATTCCACTTGAGCAGAAGGTGAAAAGATCTAAAGAGGTCATACTGCCCAGGATACTTGTATCTTCCCAAGATACCTTGGGCCACCAGAGCCAGTGTATACCCCATGGCCACCAGAGAAACAACAGAGAAGGCACGACCAGCCCAGAAGACTTTTTCTAGGAGAATCAGCTACAGATGGGTCCTGACTAAGCAGTAAGGCCCAGAGTAGAAAGTATTGTAGCACACAATCCAATAAGAAGAGTCTCAGGACAGCCACACTGACTTCCCTAAAGCTGTTGGAGCTCATGGGTCAATAATTGCCAATAGTCACTGAGCACCATATTTGAATGGCAGGGGGGAGGGAGTTATAGCTGTGGTGGCAGCTACCCTGGCCAGGCCTTGAACACCTCATTGTGGTTGGCTGCACAACTACAGAGGCCTTGAGTGGAGATTGTGCCCTCTGTTTCCCTTCTAGAGATGGTCCAGGCTTCTTCTGTTCCCAGTTCGGATCTAGGAGAATCTCTGTGGCTGCCCAAAGGGTCCATAGCCCCTCTTCTCCCATAGAAGGTATGCTCTGTAAGGACAAGTGGATGGTCAGGCCTACAGCTATACACAGCAGATAGAAAGGAAGAGGCCCCATCTCCCCAGGCTGCCTGGACTTGTAACACATGGCAGAAGCAGTCCCTCCACAGCCATTTCAATAGATCTCTGGATTCTGAGGCTCCAGTCCAGGCCATTTGTTCAAAGATACTCCAGTCCCAGAAGTAACTAGAGAATGCCTGGGATGCAGGCAGGTTGGGCCACACATGGGTTCCATATCTAAATAAAATACAGAGTCGTGTGTACCCATGTCCACATACAGGTGTGTGTACACACATAACTGCATGTCTGTGTGTACACACGTGTATTGTGCAGCAGAAGCCAAATGACAGACCCGGTCAGTACCAAAAGCCCATGGCACTTTCTGCCCTGCTATTTCCAGACTTGCTGTCCTGTGGGGATGATTTTATAACTTTTTCTTTAAAGGGAGATTCTTTTTTATGATTTGTCAAATTCCTTCAGGACCTGCCCCTCCTCCAGCTCAGACGCACCCTGATGGCTCTGGGCCTGGAATGTGGGGTCACTGAGACTCAGTGAGCTTGATCCAGGCTAGGGGGCGGGGTGTTTGGCAATACCAGGACTGTCAGTCTCAGCCTGCTCCATGAGCAGGGAGTGAGGAGGGGTATTCAAGAGGGGAGTTACCCAGCATGCCATTCTCCTGCCCTCAGTAGGAGAATAAACACTGTAGGCCCTTCCCAGGGGGTAGCTCAAGCCTCCAGGATAGAGACTCAGGCCTGCCCTGCCGCCATCAAGATGGGCTCTCATCATCAAGATGGGTCAGTTGAGTCTAAGGCCTCAGAGCCCATGGTTGGAGGCAAATCTGTACCCCATACCTCTGAAACTCCTGTGCCCAGTAAACCCTGTATTACCCACCTGGATTCTCAGCCACACTTAAGCCTTTACCAGCTTCTCCCTTGTTATCTAAGACTAGCACTTACTCTCCCGGTGATGACATGTTGCCCTGACCCAGTATCCTGCTAGGATGGCCTTGACCCCAACTGCCTGTTTCTCCAAGTCTTCCAACCAAAGTTGGCCTGGCAGACAGGCCCCCTTCCCTTTTGTTTGATCTGAGAATTCATTAATATCCTTCTCGCTGGCCATCTAGATCACAACTCCTTTCTATCACATGCCCAACCCCTGCTGACCCTCCCTACAATGTCTGGAGGTGGAGCACAAGCCAAGCATAACAGTCAAGCACAGCACACTGAGGCCACAATAAACTTGCAGAATGACTGATGCCTGCCAGCACAACCATGCTAGCCCTCACATATGCTGTCTGCCTGCTGTCTAGCCAGTACCTTATACCACAAGGGAGCTTATATTGCTGCTGTGACCTTGGAAAATCAACAACTCTAGCAATCCTATGGAGACCTCTGGTGTCTGACTCTCCACCACTTTGGAAATTTCTACCTCTCCCCACTTCCTCTGTCAGAGTTCCCCAGAGTTGTTAGGTTCTGGAGCTGTGTCCCAAGGCATGTCTAGATTTGGAGAGGATACCCTGGGACATTTCTATGGGTAAGAAATGGCCTGGGAATTGCAGGCTCTCATTTTGCACACCCTTAACTTCCTAGAAGGTCACAGAAAGCAGCACACATCTGTGACACAGCTCTGACAGTTTCTGAGTGTCAGTATGGTCAAGAGATGTAAGGAATGGAATGTTTCCAACTCTTCCAAACTGTGTGTGTGTGTGTGTGTGTGTGTGTGTGTGTGTGTGTGTGTTCATGAGCATGCATGCGTATGCACATGCATGTGTGTGTCCAGAGTTGGAATCAAGCCCAGGACCTTGCACATGCTAAGCACTCGCTGGACCACTAAGCTGCAGCCCTAGCTCACTGCTGAATTCCTAGTGAAACTGAGCACATAGCTGTTGGGAAGGCACTCAGGGCTCTTAGTACCATCAGATCTGCCATGACAAGCCCAGGATGGGTACTTCCTCTACTACTGATCTCTATTCACCAGAACTGCTCCTACAGAACCCCTACTAACAGTGAGAGGCACCAGATGGTTGACATAAAATGGATGACAGCAGAGGCCTGTTTGAATGTTCAAGACAGAGACTGTTGATGGAGCCCCAGCCACAGACTGCTCTAACAGTGCACAGCCTTTGAGGACCAAGCTTCTCACTCAGGGGATCTTTCACCTTCACCCCTGCCTGCTGCCTCCACTCACCAGCTAAGACACCGGTGTGCCCTCTCCTCTTCTGGAATGGGAACATCTCTCCTTTAAGCAGGACTCAGGGTCTACACCCCTGCATGCTCAGAGGCAACTTGCAGCTCCAACCCTGGGCCCAGGCATTTCCTCTCCCCCACAATGAACTTGCCCTAGGGAGTCACACAGGGGTCTATGTGCTTGCTTGTTCCATTCAGCTGTTAGAGGCACTGACCGAACCCACAGTCTTTGTACGCATGACATGAAAATGATCCAGAATGGATATCAAGTATCAGAGCCCAGATATCCCCATCCCAGCAGCCCTCTAGTTCCTGGAGAAGACCTACACATAAAATTACAAATTTGTGGCAAACTAAAAACAAACAAACCAGCACAGGAGGACAGAGGCCTGACTCTTTATAAATGATTGGGTCTAACCGGTCTTTATCCCTCCCAGGGAGAAAAAGGAAGGGGAGGTGAAGATGGCCCTATTAGTCCACTAAGAAACCCCAGGCACTGTCCTGTGAGGCCCCAACTGGAGGCGGCTACAGGACCTCAGTCTGAAGAGTAGCCAGGTCCTGGTTGCCTCAGGAATGAAAACCAAGTAAGAGGTGAGAGTACTGTTGCATTCTCTCATTTTCAAGCTAACATGCCCAGAAGCTCTATGGCCACACATACGTCTCCCATTGCATGGAGACAGGCAAGTTAAAGCTAGTGGCCCTGCGGAATCTAGTTGCAGACTCCTTCATTGGCCCCCCCGATCCTCTGTCTTGTCATCACAGCAAGGCAAGAACTGGGAACAGTCTCAGCATAGTGCTGGCTCAGAGCCGGCAAAGTTCCTGCTGTTCTTCAGGGAGAGTTGTTTAGGTCCTTTGTCCAGTAACTTGGTAACAAGAAAACTCTCACGCTTGTCAAAAAAGGGAAAGCCTTGGGACCCCCATGCTACTCCCAGCTTCCTCTGCTCCCTACTCAAATTCAGAGACCAGAGCAGTGGGTGGCATTGGGCCTGTTCTTTCCAGAGGCTGAAGAGGGTGGCCCGCCCCCAACTGCCAGCCAGTACAGGACAAAAGACTCTTGACAACTCCCTGGGGCCTGCTGGACAAAGCAAGGATACAGGGCTCAGTGCAGCTTCACAAAGTCCTTGGGCTTGTCTTGGCTGACACTGAGTCTTTGAGAAGCACTGTCCAGGGAAGCTTTACAACCCAAAACCTCTCTCCTCTTACTTGCATCCAAATTTCCAAAGGTCTGTCCCAAACTTACACCAGTATCCAGGAGAAGTCAAACAAGAAGGGACAGGCGCTGACCTTATCCTCTTGTATCCCAGGACCATGTCCCTGAAACCGAGTCCCTGAAACCGGAGGTGGCAGAAGCACCTGCTTTTCTCAGCCACAGGTCAGAGAACGCTCTCCTACCAAACCCAGTGCAAGGAAACCAATCATTCCCCTCCCCCTAAGCCGCTGCTCCCACATCGGGCAGACTCCAAACCTCAGTCAGCGAGTTCATCCCTGTATTTTACCTGGTCATTCTGCAGGACTTTTCTCTCTCTTTCCAGGAGCCCCTTGAGGGAGTCGCTCACAGAAAGAGACTCCACACTGCTCAAAGGACGGAGGCAGCCCTCTCAAGTCTGACCTGCCCAGTAGAAACCCTGCAGACCAGTGAAGGCTTGGACCATGGACCTCCCTGCAACCTCACATTATGCCTGACAGCTCCTGGAGATACAAGACACTACCTGTGTACAAGACACCAAACTGCCTTAAAGCGTCTTTGAAACAACTTCTTCCTCAGTGAACTCCAGCGTCAACCAGCGGAGGAGGCAGCCAGTCTAGCTGGGCCCAGGTCCACACCCAGCCCAGAGACAACAAAGCTACATTTCCTTTTTAAGACCAGATAGCCAGGGCTCATTAGCATCTACGCAAAAGAGTTTCCCCAGCGACCTTTGTTTTAGCCCCTTCCTCCAAGGGTCCTAGATCCCCGCATTCCAGACTCTAAGCTCAAGGAGAGCTGCAAAGTTGCTCGGTGTCTTCCAAGTTCTCTGACCAAGGCTCTTCAACGTGGGGACTGGGGGCTCAACCCTAGACATTCTTGCCTGAGAGCCTCTTCCCTCCACAGGCCAGGGAGATTGGGAGACCAAGGTCGACAGTGCCTGCACGCAAGCTAGGTGCGTCAGGCGATCACACTCTCCAGCACATCCGACTCTAATGTTCACACTCAGACATGAACTTTGCTGCCGGCCGGCTCAGCCCCTCGTGCCGCCGCGGTAAGACACGCACGCTTGCTTCTCCCGGCCACAGGCGCCTTCGGAGCGTGTGGGTATCATATGCAGCATTGTCCAGGCACTCTGGACCTGAGCGCAACTCCAGGGGCAGCCCCGCCCGAAGGCTTTTGTTCCTTGGGGCCGGGGGCGGGGGGGGGGGTGCCCAGACGCTCCCCAGCACCTGTCCCTGCCAACCAGGATGCCACTCCCCGAGCAAACGCAGCAGGACACAGCCGGGATCCCGCACGGTGGCAGCTCCCCTCGCTCGCCTGGCAGCCGGAAAAATCGGCCACAGCAACTAGGTCCAAGCCCCACAGCAAATAGGTCTAAGCCGTCATCCCAGAAGCCTCCTGAGGCTGTTGCGGGTCCGGAGAGCCACTCAGGACACCCGGACTCACCAGCTGCAGAGCACAGAGCGCAAGAAGCGTGCAGCGGCCGGAGCAAGAGCCCATGGTATTCACGCTGCGAGAGCCTTTGCAGCCAGAGTGGGCCACAGTCCGCCGCGGGCGAAAGCTTCTGTCCACCCCCTAATCCACCACCACCCCGCCCGCTGGGCCCTGAAGACACCGCCTCCTTCCAGCTTACAGATCCCGCCCTAGCTTGCCTCGGGGAAGCCTAGCAGACCCCAGCCCTGGCCGCCCCCTCCTTTTTTAGATCCCGCCCCTGCCCACCGGCTCGTCAGACCCCGCCCTCCCCCTATCTTTCCCGCTCTGCATAACAGCTGCGCCGCGTCTGTCTCCACACTTAAACATCCCGAGTCCTAGAAGCCTTAGGGGCTTCAAGCGGCCGGGGAGAGGGGGCGTGGGACCCCTTCTTAAAGGGGCGATGGCAAGGCTATCTGGCAGCATAGAGCAGCGAAGGGCGGCGTGATGGACAGACTCTGTCCCAGCTGGCTCGCAAAAGAATTAGCGGCCGCATCTACCCCAGATAGTTTTTGGACTGGCTCCTGTCCTTGCTCCGAGTCCTCTGGTGGGACATACACCTCTGCGCTGTTGACATCAAACTTCTTTCTTGTGGGGGTTCCGAGGCACCCCATGCACGAGGTGTTTTAACTGTGAGAGTCTCCAAGACCACAAGTCCTGACCTGGTCCAGAGCTCTATGTCCTTACTGAGAGTGAAGAGTCAGGAGTAGGAGGAATGATGGCTCGCCAGTACTTCACCTGTCTGGAAGGTCTGGGTCCAGGTCTGCTCAAGATCAGCACCAGGCACTCTTATGGGGGTGTCCTGTCTACAACAGTGCACAGAGGCCTGAAAATGGAATTGTAGAGCCTCACAACCAGGCAGGAATAGACATCATGGTCAGAGGGAGGCACTGGGCTATAAAGCAAGTCTTAGATAATAATAATAGTAATGATTAATAATAATAATAAACCGCCTGTCTTGTGCTAGCAGCAGAAGGAGGTCTCAATCCAGCACTGGAAGGGTAGTGGGAAGACAGAGGAGGTGGATAGGAGAAGCAGTTCACACCAGGCCACAGGCTTCTGAGGAAACTGAGTCTAGGTAGCTTTGCCCTTGACTTGAGCAGCTCAGGGACAGAGAACCAAAGCCCAGCATCACACAGCTTCATGGGGATGCTCAGAGCATCTGTGGATATCCGTCCTTTGTGTGACAACCATCGTACACAGAGCACCCCTCACCACTGGCTTCCCACAGCGAAGTGATCTGTGACTTCCTGTGACTGCTTGACTCCCGAACCACTCATACTATTTTATGAATTGGCAAATTTCCCTTATCCCATTTTGGTGGACAGTCACATACGGCACTGGCAGGATAGAATCTTGCCAACCCATTTAATAGAAAAGTAGGTCAAGGCTTTCAGCCTTGGGGAGGAAGCCAACCAAGACCCTTAATCCAGGCTTATGGAAGTGCGAGTCTTAGATCCAACAAATAAGAAAGTTCAGAGAGGAGAGGTGTGTGGGGTCAGGCTGATGAGAAGGAAAAACCAAGCAGATAAGAGAGTGGAACACCCAATCACTCCTGGCCATTCTCGAAGCCTTGGCAAGACTGAACTTCGAACCAAGAAGAGGCTTCTAAAGCACCCCCCTAAGCCTCCCAGGATAGAGACTACACACAGATGTTTTCTAAATAGGGCGACTAGGCCTAGGTCAGAGGTAGAGCCACATATGATGTTTAGAAGTCCTGATTATCAGAGCAAGCTGTGTGAAGATGGTAGGACTTCCTGGGCGGGTGTTCAGGGGAAGTTACTCCGTGGTGCGCGTTATGTGGCAGAGTGCTTGATGTGCGGGGCCCTTCTAGGCATTGGAGAATGCCTAGGGTACCATTTGGCACCCTAACTTCTACCAAGATACGGCCTCTTCTCTAGTCACGACAGCTACATGTTCCCAGTGTGGACAAATGTCCACTCGGTCCTTTACAAGGTGGGTTTGATGTCATCTCAAGGGAACCACTGTGCGTATAGCTGGATGGCACAGACCATCACCTGACGCTGTGTACACCTCTGAGCACATTCTCACCATGCCATGTGTAGAGGCCACAGTCTCCATGGCATGCTTTGCATTCAGACGCACATACTTTCTGCAGCCTACTCTCTGCCTCCAGTTGCGGTGGTGCCCAGATTGTACCAGATATTAGAGTGCAGCAGTAGGTCTAGCATGACCCTACCTGAGGACTCTATGGTCCAGGTCTGCACCCTCCATCCTTTCAGACAGGTGGGTTCCCAGCCTGTGTTCTTCCCAGTTCTCTTGGTAGACGGCAGACATTTTGTTTCTCGTGCCTACAGGTCATTGAGTCTTGGCTATAGCCTGTCTGAGGTTCTTTAGGGTTCACTCTCTGGGGCCAGAGGGGTGTTCCTATTCACAGGAGAGCAGACATGAGCAGTGGACTCTTCCTGACATGCACTGTGGCTCAGGGGTGGCTGGGACCCCAGGCCGTCTTTCAGCTGTTTAGAACTTGCCTCCCTGTCTCCAGAGCAGGGCTATGCCACATCAAATTTCTGGGTCACCCCAATCTCCTGACCCGGAGCTCACCTGCTCTGGGTACAAGGAAGGGCAGGTAGAGCTTAGACACCAGACAGTCACACATCTCATCTGCCTCACAGTGTGACTTTAAATGTTCAGCCCAGGCACATGCTTGGTTTCATCAATCTTGTAGTACACATTTGCTCTCACAGAATCTCACACATTGCTGCATGGTGAGCCACAGGCCTGGGCCTCCCGGGGTCCCAGGGCAGAGCTAGAACTTTAAGCACAAGTATTGAGATCACCACCAGTTCGGTGTAGAGTGGGGCCCACACCAGCCAAGGGGGTGATTCCGTGAATGAATATGGACTCAAGACCAGAGCAAAGTAAGCAAGGTGAGGCCAGTCACTTCTGAGAGTTCACTGGCTGTCAGACAGCACAACTGGCTACAGAGGAAGTTTTCAGCCTGGACCCATTTCCTCTGAATTCTGGAGGGATCAAAGGGAGAAGCATGTGCAACTTTTCAGGTTCAGGAAGCGAAGACCTTACAGGTTCCAAGGTACTCCCCGAGGTTATATAAGCAATAGCAGTTGCTGGGTTGAGGAGACTTTCACATGGAGCTCTCTGCAAGCTGTGCAGTGAACTCTCTGGATGCAGCACTCATGAGTCTTCATGCTGAAGGGGTAGCTTTCAGTAATGTAGCTGCATTTGAATCACCCTGGTCCTGTAAACAGCCCCTCACTTATGCTTCTGTAAGCAATTCCAATAAACCCACTTGTTCATTAAGACTTGGATGGCGTAGTTTCTTTGGTCTATGGTCTATGCTTTATCTGGGGTTAATAAATGCTTGCCCACATGCCCTTAGAAAAATTCATTCAGTCTCTAGGACATCAGAACTCCCTGCAGCAGCAGAAGAGCCCATGCCTGAAGTTTAACAGCATGAAGGGGGGAGACTATTCTTTGTGGCCACATACCTGGCTTTCTGAGACCCTCGCCATAGGATCCCAAGGCCATGGATCTGACTGGGATATCTTGGGACCTCATCTTTAGTATCAGAAATTCATGGATCAAAGAGTAGAACAAAGCAGAGGCAAGCGAGACTGATGTTTTTCTCACAAGCTTTCAAGCATTAGTTTCACTAAACAAACTAGAAAAACTCAGAGATCAAAAGCCAGCTGCACGCCCCACTGGATCCCTCTTCCCGAGACTAGCAGCTGCTCCTCCTTCACTGCATCCTAGGCACGCTCCCTCTTCCCCCTACTTTCTGTTTCTTCCTGTTAGTCTGTCTCTCACAATGGAGCTTATAACACGATTCCTAAATGTCAACAAGAAACCAAAGTTTGAGACAAAAAGACCTGAGCTAGATAGTTTATAAAGAACAGAAACTTACTCTCCACAGTTCAGGAAGTTGGAAGTCTAAGATCTAGCTTCACCACTATGCTTCCAAGCTGGCCCTGTATTGAAACTTTGCGTAGGGGCAGATGGCAAGACAAGAGAGTCTTTCAACCTGGAGCCCCTTTACAGGAATCCCATTTCCCAGGTCAGAGCCTTCTAATTCAGCCATCTGTCTATGAGCACACCTTAAAAGCTCTTGCCCTGAGGTTTCAGGCTTAGCATGAATTCTAGAGGAGACTCCAGCATTAAATCATAGCAGGAGGCACTCAGGAGGATGTAGAAATGATCCTTTCAGCCAGCAAACTCAGCTTCAAAATCACAATGGGCATTTCAGCCAGCAAACTCAGCTTCAAAATCACAATGTGGACCTAACTTTAATTTTGCAGGACAAAACACAGAGTACTTTTCCCAGGCTGTCTGTGTTGTCTCTCTGTGCAGGGCACCCCATTCTGGAAAGTACCCACCCCAGCAGCAACAATAGTAGTGGTCCCCACAGCCCCTGCCATCCTGCCAGCTCCTTTAATATCATAAAAGCCCTTGTGGGGCCAGGCATGGTGGCTTATGGCTTCAATCCCAGAGGGAGGCAGAAGCAGATGGATCTCTGTGAGTTTAAGGCCAGCCTGATCTATAGAGAGAGTTCTAGGACAGCTAGGGCTACACAGAGAAACCCTGTCTTGAAAACCAAAAGGGAAAAAAAGCCCTTGTGGGTTATTGTTGTATCTTCTTCCACATATAAGTTAGAAAAAGGAAGCTTCATCCTAAATGACCTTCCCAGAGCCTGCAGAAGACTGAGGCAGGATTTGATGCCAGGTTTCTTCAACTTCATAGTTGGACATAGATTTTAATTTTATACCAAAGAGATCATCTCAAGGCCCTAGTGGGCAGGACTGGGACAAAGAGTAGCCAGGAGGTGTCATGAGCAGCCTAGCGCATATCCAGAGAGAGGTGCACAGCCTATACTCTGCCTTAGGGACAGATCACACTTGTCTGGGCCTATCACCTTGCAGGCCTTCCGCTGGTCAGCACCACTATAGGTGCCAGCCTTGGTTAAATGGTTTTATGTGGACCTCCAATAGCCTAATCTCTACCCACTGATCCTGTTGGCCTTGGGGTAAATTTGAGTCCATTGCTGACTATCCCAATTTTCATCCAGCCCCATTGAGTCCTTTCTCAACGTCCCTGTGGGCACCAACTTCTCTACCCACTGACTCTACAAAGGCTCCAGGGTTCTGTCCCGTGGGGCCTCTACCCCTTCACAGATATTACAGTGCTCCTCTATTTTCTATGCAAACCAGCCCCGGGCTCATGGGTTTGGTGTTGGGATCTAGGTCTGGATATAAGTCATGGCTTCTACATTCAGTCAACTAGTCTTCCTGATTCTCCTGGCCTCCAGCAAGCTTTCCCCTGACTTCAGCAGGGATCTGACACCCTGTTTCTCTCTCAGGTCTTGGACGTGACAAGGTACAGCCACCACACCTCAGCCATCCCTCCTCCCAGGCTCTCTGGGACAGGGAGATTGAGAGACCCTTCCCTGGGCTTTCACACTGAGACTCTGGTACACATGCAGGGCAGTCCATGTATGTATATGTGTGTGTATGAACTGTTAGTGTTCTATGGATCTGCAAACTCCTAGCTGCTAGAGTCCATCACATGTCCTTCCGTGTCTGGCCCTGAAGGGATAGCCTACTCTAAGAAACCTGTAGAGAATAGAAAAGACCAACAAAGTCCCACTAGTCTGTCATCAGCATTTTCCTCAGGAAAGCTCTTAGCCTTACTGGAGCTGAGGACACAAAGAGTTAAAATTTCCCTTACCATGCAGGGAAAGTGTTGTTTCCCTATCCAAGGAGGACAGAGGAAGCTAGGTCTATACTGCGGGTCCTGGACTGTCTGCTCTCCATTGTCCAGCTTTCACCTGAATTAATACATTCTCTTCATTGTGTCCACCATTTAAGATTCTAGCAACTAGAATTAAGAAAGACTCCCATCTAAGACAGGAAAGGGGGGGGGCAAGGCACAGGGAATATTTGGGTCTTGACCATCACAGCCCACAGATCTGAACCGTTACAACTGCAATCTGAGGAGTTAGCCAGTCCTGGCATATTCTTAGCTACTGTGATCAAATGTGACCCAACACAGCTGCAAGTTCCTGGGAGGGTTGGGTTGGAAGGATGGTCCAAGACTACTGTCCAAGGACAGTTGTACTTCTGAAGCCTGCATGGCTTCTTGACCTTGGAGTGTTGCCCGCCCTGGCATTCCTCTAGTTCCCTCTGTCCCAGCTACATGCCCTCCTGTACATTACAGGCCTATGGTGGGGAGTTGACAAACTGGACTCTGCCAGGCCTTTCTCCATCAGGGCCACTCCCACCACCCAGGGGTCAGAGGCCACACTGCAGCAGCCTTATCTGGGTGGACCTGAGCCGACTCACATTCTTCTCTCCTGATTCAGGAAGGATCCGGAGGTGGTATGGTATCAACAGATTAAAAAAAGGAAAGCAAAGCAAAGCAAAGAAAGGCAAAGTCTTCAGTGGGGTACACACTGGGAGGTGGCACAGCAAAGACGGAAGCTTGCTGACATCCAGCAGAGGGGGACTGGTAAATAAGTGCAACTACGCTAGGCACTGGAACAATCCAAATTTCAAGGGGATGTAGGAGGCCCCTGGGAGAACGGAGGGTGTGATGCAGTAGGTATGTTGTCAGCTGGAGATCAGCCTCAGCTGACTCAACCCTGCTCACCATTGGGGGAGCGGATGCTTGGGCTGTTGGCTAAGGTCTGGTATGTGTTCTCCTCAGACCATATGTCTCCTCTTTGGAGAGAGGTGCTGTATGTCATGGGCACCAGGAAGGCCATGCTAAGTAAATTACAGAGGATGGAGGAACAGTTGGGCCCGCAAAGGCCTTGTGCTTTCTGTTCTGTCTATTTCAGGGTGTTAACTGTATAGTACACTTGCAACTGGGGATAAATAACAGGTCTAGTAGTGAGGACTCAGGATCGCCCACGATTTTACTTTTGTGAACTCTGAATTCCTCAGTGGGCCTGATACCGGAGGGCTTAGTTCTGTCCTCAAGCTGGAAGGGTTCCAGGCCAAGCAGGCTCCTTACTATGGCCTCTCGACACCAGGAACTTCGTAGTCACAGTTTATTCCAGTTGTTACACAGGGCAAGAGTCTTCCAGGTCTGGGCTCCAGGCAACTTGCACCCAGTCCATTCACCTTGCACCCACTCTTTGCATTCTAAACCTGGATGGTCTGCCAGAACTACCTAGACCTTCCATGGCAATGTTTTCTCCATAGACTTTCAGGATACTGGGAGGAGGGACTGTTGCTGATGAAACCCCAAATGGGCTGGCCTGCCCCCTGGAGGCCAGTCAGGGCTACTTAGTGCTTAGTGAATGCTGGTGGGAAACATCCTAGGTCAGGGAGCTGAGTCCACTGTGGAGAATATTTTCAGGGGAAGCTTAACACTCAAGGGCACTCACATCTGAGCCGGTTGATACAAACAAACAGTGGTGCTTCCTGGAGCACAATGACCAAAACCAATTTGGGTAGAAAAGGGTTTATTTGGCTTATGCTTCCACATCACTGTTCATCATTAAAGGAAATCAGGACAAGAACTCAAACAGGGCAGGAACATGGAGGCAGGAGCTGATGCAGAAGCCACGGAGAGGTGCTGCTTACTGGCTTGTTCCTAGTAGTTTCCTCAGCCTGCTTTCTTATAGAACCCAGAACCACCACCCACAATGGGCCAGGCCCTTCCATATCAATCATTAACTAAGAAAATGCTCTACAGGCTTGCCTGATTTACAACCTAGGGCAGCAGTTCTCAGTCTGAGATTCCAGTGGGGGGGGGGGGTCACATATCAGATATTTACGTTACAATTCACAACAGTAGCAAAATTACAGTTATGAAGCAGCAAATAATAATAATAATAATAATAATAATAATAATAATTTTATGGTTGGAGTTCACCACAGCATGAGGAACTGTATTAAAGGGTTATGGCATTAGGAAAGTTGAGAACCACTGTTCTAGAGGCATTTTTGTAGTTGAGGTTCCCTTCTCTTGGATGGCTACAGTTTATGTCAAGCTGACATAAAATTAGCAAATACAAACAGGGAGAAATGTCTTGATCAAGATGGGTATAGCCTGCAAAACACAGTCTACACTGGCGAAGATACTGCTGGATCTCCTATAGGCCAGGTCTGTCTGCTCTTGCCTGCCAAGCAGCAGTTTAGCCAACATGACCTGAAACCATGGGTAGGAGCAGCTCAAATCTGCACCTACGCTTTTGTCTGCCATAGAACCCTGGCATGTTAGTCCTAAGCCCTAGGTTGTATCCTTGGTAGCTGCACAATCTATACATAGCATAACCTGTTTTACAGTGGTCCTGAATAGGCACCTGCCCTCAGCACAACCAGTAATCATACCCATTGTCTCTATGCAGATGAAGGATGGTGAACCAGAGGCCTATGAGTCTGGAGGTGAGATCCTAGACATACAGCACCCACACACCACACACACGTAACACACCATTGGCTTCACACCAAGTGCATACACACACATACATGTACATATGTATGAACAAGTACATACATTTACAAGCTCACATGTACAAAATGTACACCAACACACCTCACCAGCCCTGTTTAGCTCTGGCTATTTTCTCCGTTACCCTTGCTGGGAGCCACAGGACCCTTTGGGTCATGCTGGTCCACATCATTGAGGGCCTGCGCTCAAGGCCTTTCCTACTTTTCTGTTATTTATTTTGCAGTGTCATCTGGGCATGACATGATCATCATGATCGTGAAGCAGAGCCATCTTGGTTGCCCTTAGCCAGTACCAAAATCAGCAGAGCAGCCCAAAGATGGCTAGGTCTGTGGTATGTTAATGGTGGTGAGGCCATTAACATATCCTCATAGGACCAGTGGAGTCAGAAGACCCTTACCAGAGGTTCCATCCACCATTTTCTTATGCCCAGGCTGTACATGGTTGTGTGTGTCTAAGTTTGTAAGTATATAAGAAGTGGAAGGTTGAGCCATCATATCTGGCTTTTTTGTTTGTTTGTTTACTTGTTATTAAAGGGAGGGAGTCTCTGTGTAGGCCCAGATGTCTCTGTAGACCAGGCTGGCCTTGAACTCAATGTGTCTGCCTCTGCCAACGAGCACTGGGACTAAAGACATGCACCACTATTGCCTGACTAGATCTTGTTAAAGAGCTTCCCGCCTGCATAGGGCAGATAAAGTTCTGAGACATCCTGGTCTCCGGAGTAAGAGCCTGTCTCACAAAAACAAAAACGTCATGTTATGAAGCAAGCCGGGGTGACTCATGTCCTTAATTCCAGAACGCTGGGGGCTGAGACCTACCTCCGGTTCCAGACTAAACTGGGCTACAGTGTGAGAGCCTATCTCAAACAACAAAATCAGGCTGTGGATAAGTCATCTAAGACTGTATTGTTACTCTATCTATACAAACCCCAACAGTCAATGGAAAAATGGGTCCAATTTTCCCTGAGTGATACAGGTCCCAGCTGTATGTATTTGACAAAACGCCTCATGGTAAGTTTCGAAGCAGATGGGTTTGATTTGACCTCAATAAAACATTAACTTCTGGTTAATTGGAAAGTCAAATGAACCGGTCTGTGGTGGCGCACGCCTATAATCCCAGCACCTGGGAGGCAGAAGCAGGCGGATCTCAAGAATTCTAGGCCAGCCTGTCTACAGAGAGAGCTCCAGAATAGCCAACGTTTCACAAAGAAACCCTGTCTCGAAAAACAAAAACAAAAAGACCAACTAAACAAACAAAGCAAAGCAAAACAGCCGATGATGAAATTCGTGGTACAGAGAGGCCCAAATTCAACACAAAACTAAAAATCACCAGCAGCTAACGCCACTGATTTGACCAGAACTGCTGGCCCAGGTAGCTACAGGAAGTTCCTTGCTCCCCTCCGGCCTTGGTCTGCACAGTGGATTTCCTAGAATCCCGGCCGGAGCGAGCGCAGCCCGGATCCACAGGCTCTGCGTCGGCAAACCGCACAGCCTAGGCTGCAGCGACCGAGAATCCTGCACGGAAGGCCGGGACAGACCACAAGAGGAACCGCGCTTCTGCACTAGCGCTCTGAGGCGGAAGTACCGCCTGGGAGGCCTCCCATGAGTCCTTGCATAGCGCGACGTAGCCGGAAGCTGCTGGCGGCTGATGGGGCCAGGATCTGAGCGCCCAGTCCAGCTTGGCAACTCGGCCGGACCCGACCCCCTGAGGGCAGCAGGTGAGCTCGCACCCAGGACACCGGGGACCCGCGGACCCCCAATTCCTTTATTTCCGGTTCTCAGATTATCCGTTTTCTGGAACTCTAAGCCTGGAGACTGAAGCCCTAGGCCCTAGGTCCCCTAATAACCAGACCGTCCGACGCCCCCGGTCTTCAGCCCTGACTTAACTCCCCGACTCATGGTTCCTCCCGCACCCTCTACTTCCCGTTCCCCAGCTTTCTGGCCCCGGACCTTCTACTCTTCCGACCCGTGAGGTCCCTGTTCCTCGGACCCTAAACTCCAGGGTCCCTGTGCGGCCGCCGTCCAGATCCCTCGGCCTCTGAGCCTGTCGCTCTTCAGTCTAGCGGTTATGCGGATCTACTGGCCCCTCAGGACTCTGATCCCGAGCGCTCTCAGACCCAGACTGGTCTGCACAGCCCAGTTGGCCCGGAACGATCTTTACTTAGAAAGAACATTCTCTTCAGAGGTTCTGGGAAGCCAGGTTTTCTAGCCTCTGTTTGTTCGTTTTACCTCTTGGCCTTTGAAGTGAGTGCTCCGCCGAAGGAGAAAAAAAAAACAAAACAGAACAACAGCAAACCCCCCCCCCCCGCCCCCAGGACGAGGCTTTTAAACTTTTTCGCAGTTTTACCTGCGTTTCGAAGAATGTGCTATGTTTGCCTCTTAAGGCACTCAGAAGTCGGAAATACTCTACCCTGTTTCAGTCTTCATGTTTCTGCCGTGCTGTGTTTGCAGCCATGGAGCCCTAACTATGGCTTTGGACAAGGTGATGTTCTGAAATCACCTGTTGTTCAGATTTAGGAAGCATAACTTAGACATGGGGTTTTGTGTGCTCGGAGAAGTTCTGAGAAAGGGAGTATTTCTCCTTGTTACCCATTCTGTAGCCGTAGGGCCGGGCTATGTCCCCAGAGGTTCATCATGTTCCAGATTAAGAACCAAGTGCTCTCTAGTGTGACATGTCATCCTTATTTGCCTCAGTATTTACTGGTTATTTGTGCTTGAAGGAAGACTGTTTTGTCATTTTTGTTTCAGCCATTAGGAATTCTTAGGGGTGGGTGAGATGCATTGCCAGGTAAGAGTACTTGCCACCAAGCCTGACCACCTGAGTTTGATCCCTGGAACTCACATGGTGGAAGGAGATAGCCAGCTCCCACCTCCAAACTTCCAGGCATGCACTTGTGAGCACATCATGGGCACACCCAAGAAACAAATGTTAACAACAGAAGAATTTTTGAACCTCTTTTGAGCCATATTTAGACTTTTGAGGAGATACATTTTATATTATTAAACAACATTTAAGATAACTAATTTCTTTTGAGTACCAAAAGGTTGCCACACAGGAGAATTTCTTAAAACCAAACCAAGCCAGGGATGGTGGTACCACCTTTAATCCTAGCACTTGGGAGGCAGAAGCAGGCAGGCTGATCTCTGTGAGTTTGAGGCCAGCCTGCTCTCTATAGTGAGTTCCATGACAGCTAAAGCTATGGCGAAAGACCCTGTCTCAAAAACAAACAAAAAACAAGCCAAGTCTTCTACTTGGCCACATTTACTCCTATAGCTGTGAATGTCCTTTACTTCACAGTTGGAAATTCAGAGTAGTCTTAGGAGATGCTGACTTGTTGCCTTGTTTGCCTCCATTTTGTCATTGTAAGCCTCTGAGGACAGGCACAGTGCCTTGGCCGTTGAGATCGAGTACAGAAAACCTGCATTGGTCTTGGTGACAGCTGTTCATGTGGCACCTAGAAGAGAATGCAGAGAGCTTTGGAAACTCAGCTCTCCCAGTGTCTCCCCAAATGCTCTGAACTGTCTGGGGGTGTGCATGAGTAGATGCCTGGGGTGCTAACTGTTCTGCCTTAATGAGTCATGCAGTGCCTGAGTCCTACATATAGGAGTCTGCATTTGTGTGTTCATGGTTTTAGAATGCCATTCTAACATAGTTAATATAGTAAAAGGAAGCTAGACTGAAGTAGGATTTGGTTTTAAAAGCTACAGAAAACAACTTTTTATCCTAACATCAGACGTAGAGAACCTCTGTCAGACTGCCTTCACACCATTGCCAGGGATGCTTCCTTGCCCTTTCCTGCAGCCCGAGGAGAGATGGCAGAGAGGGAGGAAGTGCAGAGGACTCTATTCCATCAGGTGTTGCCCTTTCAGGTGGGGAGACAGCTTAAGCAGCGACATTTCATGTTTTTTGTAAGGTTACTCCTTGTGAGTTTTACCACCAATGCCAGGGCTTTTTATCAGTTAGGCTGACTGGTGTCACATAGTGGCTGAATTTGTACTTCATGGCATTCCTGACTGCTTACTGCAGGTTGTGACCTGAGGCCTTCCTCATCCCCACCCCCAACCTCCCCCTCCCTTGTAAAGACCCTCCTTGGTAAGTCGCTCCAGTACTGTGCAGGACTACCACTATCAAATCATAGCAATTTGGTGCAGATCTTATGAAGTCAATACTACATAATGTTTTTGCACAATTCATTTTCTCTCTTGCGTAGTAAGCCATTGTAAGAGTTGTTTTCCTCCTTGCAGCACCATGGCCAGCCCAAGAACCAGAAAAGTTCTTAAAGAAGTCCGGGCACAAAATGAGAACAATGTGAGTGTGAACCTTGGGCTGGGCCGGGTGGGCTGGTAAATGTCTTGGTGTCAGATGCAGGTATGACTGTGTTCCTCCTTTGAGAGGCTGGGCCTGTCGTAGGGGAGCAGCCAGTACTTCCTGGTGCTAACTAGTGTGGCTGTAGGGAATGGGATTTCTGTCAGACTGCTCTGGTTGTGCGGAGGATGCCTGGTCTCCCTTCTGAGGAGTTTTCTCATGAGAGGTTCTTTATCTTCATACCAGTTTCTGCCGCCTTCATTTTTGTCCTGAACCTACATCCTTTGACCAACTTGTGCAGCCCTATTGGGCTTATTGGTACTTGCACGTGTGGCCTGCTCCTCTTCTGCATCCTTTTGGGGCATCTGTTGGGTGTTTAGGGTCCTCACCCTGCCCTGAGCTGCCTGGTGAGTTGCGTGTGCCTCCCCTTCGCAGGTTTGCTTTGAGTGTGGTGCATTCAATCCTCAGTGGGTCAGCGTGACTTATGGCATCTGGATCTGCCTGGAATGCTCTGGGAGACACCGTGGGCTTGGGGTGCACCTCAGGTCAGTGTCCTGCCACTTGCTGCTGCACACCCTGCATCTGTCCTACTTCCCATGTTCTGGGGCCTGCTGCCCAAACTGCTGCCTGACAGGATGTTAGGGGGCTGTTCTCCACCTTTTTAGGTGGTCTTCACTCCACTAACACTGGCCAAGAATAGCAGCTGCTGTCCAGCTTGCCTCTATGAAGCTTCTGGCTTTTGCCTCGATACAGGAAGCACCTATATCTAGCTCAGGATGTGATCTTGGGTTGGGAGGCTCCTTGGGTCCCCTCATACTTGGTCATCAGATCAGACATCTGGCTTCTAGCTTTGTGCGCTCTGTAACAATGGACAAATGGAAGGACATTGAGCTTGAGAAGATGAAGGCTGGTGGCAACGCTAAGTTCCGAGAATTCCTGGAGGCACAGGAGGACTATGAGCCTAGCTGGTCCTTGCAGGACAAGTACAGCAGCAGAGCTGCAGCACTCTTCAGGGATAAGGTAAGGACTCACCTGGCTTGCATCACACACAGAGTTGAACCAAACATAGTACACACCTTCAAGGTGGCCAGGATGTGGCTTCAGTGGCTTTGGGAGGCAGGTTTCTTTTCTCACTGTAAACGTGTGGAGACCATGCACTGTCTTAAGGACAGATGAGAACAAGTGGCCCTTACTAACCCTAGGGCAGGCTCTTCCTGCCCAGAGGGAATGCAGATTAAAGGGAGGAAAGGAACAGTGATGATCATAGTACCTTGGGATGGCTTAGCTGCAGACGCTCTGAAAATTTGGCCTTCCTTAGATTGGGGGTCAAATTAATGAATCCTTGTGCATTTGAAGTTGGAGCCACAGGGCCAGTAGCTCACTGGCACTTACATGGTCATGCAAGCCCTAGTTGTTGGTGTGGTGTGCTGGCTTGTGAAGTTAGACGTGATTGAGTAGATGGCATGTCTCCTCATTTCTTGTGTCATTTTGTTAGGTGGCTACTTTGGCAGAAGGTAGAGAATGGTCTCTGGAGTCTTCACCTGCGCAGAACTGGACCCCACCTCAGCCCAAGACGCTGCAACTCACTGCCCACCGGTAGCTCCTCTGGCCTGCTAGTCAGACCTCAGCTTGACCCTCAATGTTAGTGGAAGCTCAGGATCCCCATAGAAACCTCATTTCCTCCACATGTGGAAACAGCTCCAGTTGTGAGCTAATCCCAGAAGTCAGAGTAAAAAGTAGCTTTTTAGCATTTCTGAAAGGTAAAACCTTACCCCAATTAAGAAGTCTAATCTTGCCCTGATCTGTAGAGGGGTTGGTTCCTCTTTGTGCAGGTGTGTCATACAACCGGGTAAAGAGTGCTGTGGGGTGTTTTTGCCACGTGTGGGTCAGTCTTCTGCAAGCTGTTGGTCACAGCATAGTTCAGTCCCCAAGATGGTGCAGGTTCCTGTTGTACACACCAAGGTCCACTGTGAGGACTGTCCCCCGTGCAGGCAATGTGCCAAGTGACAGCACATCTGCCTCCAGGCCCTAGAGAACCTCACCAGAATGTCCTAGCCCCACTTCAGCGCTTCACTTCATATGCGTCGGTGTATTTCCTGCCTCTGAACCCTCGGCAGGTGTTAGGTTGGGGCAGAGAACCACTGGACTTTCAGCTGTGCCTGAGCTTCCTATGGGTCAGAGTTGGTACCTGTTTGGCCCCATATATGATATCAAGGTCCTTGTCACAAAGACTGTGGTTTCATATGGTGGTGTTGAGGTCTTACTGGCCTTTAACTTTCTGTTTTAGATCCTCTGGCCAGCCACAGAATGTGACTGCCTCTGGGGACAAAGCTTTTGAAGACTGGCTGAATGATGACCTCGGCTCCTATCAGGGGTAAGGCCTCTCAAACCAGGGATGGCAAACCCCAGGGATAACAGCAAGCAGTTGGGAGCATCTTTGACAGACCACCCTGCAGGGGTTCACTCCATTGGGTTGGGCTTCTTTCCTTTAGGGTAAGGTGGGCCCACTCCTTTTGTATGTGTCCACAGTGTGTGTAACCCGGGGTCCACTTGTGGCAAGCTCCAAAATGGCCTGTGTTTGAATGGAGGTTTTGAATGTAGAGAACATCCAATATTAAAGATGATGCATTTTCTTCCTAGAATCTGACTGGCCTGTAAATGATGCTTGATGTTTCCAGTTACCCTACTTACCAGGGTTTAGGTCTTGCTGGGAGCCTCAGGTCATGTGGTAGAAAGTATCTATATAGCTGCTATGCCCATTTTCCAGAATGCAGTGTGTCCTGTGAGGGGGAAGGGTACCTCTCTTGGTGCCCAGTGTCTCACTGTTGAGGAGTGGCAAGGTTCATGACTGTGGCTATGGCTGTGACTGGTGATGTCTTTTGTTTATTCTCAGGGCTCAGGAGAATCGCTATGTGGGGTTTGGAAACACAGTGCCACCTCAGAAGAGAGAAGACGACTTCCTCAACAATGCCATGTCATCCCTATACTCGGTAGGAAGGCCTAGGACCTGCAGAGTGCCTCCTGTGATAGACATAGCCAGGGTGGTTTCCCAGTGCCAAGATAGGGAGGCCCCTTCATGACCAGTGTGGGCACATACCCTTTGATCTGATTTAAGGCCCTATCTTGTTTACCTTCTTTTAAAAATGACCTTTTGTTCATATCCCAAATGTATTCAGCCACTTACTTACTGTGGCCATAAAACATGCATGTCAAATTTACCAAGGTAGACTTCCTCAAAGAACTAAAAGTTCTTTGGAGCCTGTATTCTTCTTATCTTCAGGGCATATCCTATGCCCAGCAGAGTGCTGACGTAGCCTCCTGGCCTATGCTGGGTAGGCTGACTCAGGAAACGAGGCCCTAAGCAAAGGCTGCCCAAGGCTTTGGCATTCTACTGGGTTGTGGTGCTTGGCTTTGAGGACATCTGTCTGATTTCAAGTTGGAAGCTCCAGATCAGAAGCTCAGGGTGTGACACCTTAGACTTGCTTTTCCAAGGAAATTAACCTTTAAGCTACTTTGTTCATTGCGGTGTTGTATTCTGTAGTGATCATAAATGCAAGCACCTGAAGGCCTGGCAGGGATTGCTGTTAAGTGGTCTGGATGCTGAAATTGAAAAGAGAAAGAGATAGGCCAGACATGATAGGGATACACCTTAAGTTCCAGCGCTTGGGAGGCAGAGGCAGACAGATCTCTGAGTTCAAGACTAACCTGGTCTACACAGAATAGTCAGGGCTACACAGAGAAACTGTGTCTCAAAAACAAATAAAAAAGGGGAAAGGCTTTTTATACTGGTAACAGATCTTTAACTAAGTGTAAATAAGCAGGGTGCATAGATACTGTGAAAGGGGCAGAATGCAAAAATCACGTGCACTAGTCGCTGACTTACTGACACAGATGGAACACTGACACCACCGTCGTCTTTTGTATCAAGAATGTTTATTCCTTAATGAATTTTTTACCTTACCTTTGTAGCTCTGTGTAGCCTCCTTGAGCTCATATGTAGAACAGGCTGGTGTTGAATTTTCAGTGGTTCTCCTGCTTCTGCATATCGGAATTACAAGCATGAGCCACCATGCCTGGCTCAAAATTGTTTTAAAACTGAAGTTGAATATTGTAATGTGCCTATAGCCCTGGCACTGGGGAAGCTGAAGCAAGCATGAAGATTGTAGTGCATCTGAAACCAGCTTGGGCTACATAGTGAGGGCCTATCTCAGAAACCAAAGATTAGCTTAAAATTGTCCTTTGCCCCCAAGGAATGTCACTGTTGTAGGACTATAGGAGCAGCAGTCATTCTCATGCTTTCACACTGGGTCTTCTTTAGGGCAGAAAAGCAGGCTTTTATCGTAAAGCCTGTTGCTGGTGTATAGTTCGTTCGTTCTTTTGGTTTTCTGGCAGCTCATTTTGTAGACAGACCTCAAACTCAGAGATCAATCTCCTGCCTCCCAAGTGCTGGGATTAAAGGCGTGCACCACTATATCAGGCCCTATAGAGTTGTATTTAAAGCCTCTCATCATTTGACATCTGCATTCCTGTCTTCTGCTGATGACATTTTCTAAGGAAGAACACTGAATATAGATGTCTCCTGAAGTGTAGTGGTTTCTCTGCATTATCTTGTGGGTGAAGAAAGCCATCTGTGGTTTAAACGGGATGTTTTTATGTTGAAGTAGTGTTAATTTGCTTTGGAAGGTACTGGTGAGGAAATAACTTTGAATTTAGAGGAAGGCCTGTGACCTCTGTCCACCACTGCCTGCTCCTCTGGGAGGCAGGAAGCAGTAAGGAAAGAAGTGAGCACAAGCTCAGTCAGCTCCCTTTTAGGTCTGCCCAAGAGGCCTGGTACCCATCCTGTGCTTCGGTTGGTGTTTGAGTTCTTGCTCCCAGGAAGGACAATGCTGAAGTGTGCTGTGTGCCGCAGCTGGCAAGGGAGTGTGGCTGTTGCAGCATTTGGCTTCTTTGGCAGGTCACAAGAGCTATAGAGGCATTTGAGGTACCTTCTATAGAGCCTTCCTGTGCTGAAGTGTCAAGAATGTGGCATGGACAGGATCTAGAAAAGTCATAGCTCATCATTATCTGTTGTTTTGTCAGGGCTGGAGCAGTTTTACCACGGGGGCGAGCAAGTTTGCTTCTGCAGCGAAGGAAGGCGTAAGTGACTATGGGATGCATGCTGTCCACCACTGGCCCACGGTCCTGGGAAACGGGTCCTGGGGTCCTTTCACATATTGATCTTCACCCTTCTAGCAGTGAAGCAGGGACCCTTGTCCACTGCAGGATGACCCAGGAACCCTTACTATAACAGAAGATGTTCCTTTTTGTGTCAGGGACAAACTCCTTGCAAAGGCTGACTTGATTTCATATGGGTGGAGACAGATGCAATCCCTAACGAACAGCTGATAGGTCTTCAGAGTAGTGTTGAAACAGTCTAGCTCCTCACCCTCACCTTTACTTAAAATGAGAAAAGAACTTGAGGGTTCTAGTTGGAACAGACCATGCTGTATGGGGAACATGTCTGGCTCTGGCAATGCCCTGGCAAGCAGAGATAGGAAGAAGCCCGAAGGTATAGACTTTTGGCTAGGGTTGGGCTGTGTAGCCATGATAATAAGAGGAACAGTGGTAGAGGTAAGGGGGCCCACTGGTCCAGAGGAACCAGAGCGGCAGTGCTCACAGTCACCCAAACAAGCTGGAAGCCATTATATCTGCCCTTCGTGCCCATTTGTCATGGAGCAGTTGCTGTCGACAAGATGTGTTTCCGCATCTCTAGAAAGGCTGGTGCCAGAGGAGGGCTAGCTGCCTTCTAGCTTGGGCATCTGTAGACAGGCCTACCTTTTCTCAAGTGTCAGCAGTTCTTTATGTCTAGATAAGCTAGCTACTGTACTGCACACATGTTGGAGAAGTAGTTTGGCTGCTGGGCCCAAACATTTCATATCCTCAATAGTTTGTGGGCTTGGTACAGCATCTGGTAAGCCAAACTCCCTACAGTAACCTTCCCTGTGAGCTGTTGTCAGGTTGGTGCTCACTACCTAGGTGCTTTCCCAGAGTTCTGGAACTAGCTCCATCGTATAAGTAAAGGCCTATGATCAGGGTCAAGACATTTGACTACAACGTGCTGCTTTTGTTTTCCTTTTAGGCTACAAAATTTGGATCCCAAGCAAGTCAAAAGGTAAAAAGGAGAAGCTCTTACTCTCTTAGTCTTGCTGGGTGGTGGTAGCAGATGCCTTTAATCCCAGCCCTCAGGAGGCAAAAGCAGGCAGATTTCTGAGTTCCAGGACAGCCAGGGCTACACAGAGAAACTCCATCTCGAAAAACCAAAAAAGTAAAGAACAAAACCCTCTTCAGTCTTATATGCAGTGTCTGGAAGCATCCTGGGCTCCTCATCTGAGGTCGTAGTGAAGAAGGTCCTCTTCTGTCTTCATGTGTCAGTTTCCTCACTTCAGTGCCTCCAGTTGCTGAGAGCAGGAGGCTTCCCCTGTTCCAGGCTTCCTCAGCCCTGTCTACCACAGCCACTGGTAGACATGAAGCCACTGTGCCATATCTGCCTCATAGGGAAAAGATTGTCTAGGCCATGGCTCTCAGCCTCAGTCTGTTGACCTGGAAAGGTATCCCCACGTCCCCACTTGGTGGCCTGGTTTGTGTGTCCAGCAGTGGCAGTCTTATGCTTGGCAGTTTATTTTTCTTTCAAGCTGAGTATAATAACTACCATGTCTAGAGCTCTGGTCAGCTCTTCTCCAGGGTGAGATGAGCAGAATTTTAGGCCTTTGTGACCTGCAGTACTCTATTCATGTGCACTTCTGCCTCCCAGCCCTGTACCCCTAGTGACCCACCTTGAAGAAGCCTACCTGGTTTGCCTCAGAGCTTCTAAGCTAGGATCAGACTCTTCAGGTATATGATGGAGTCTGGACAGTGATAGGTTTGGAACAGAGAAATAATGATGCCAGGGCCCAGAGCAGACTGGTGTGGGTCTGGTATAGGTAATAAAGTAGTTCAGGCTGGGCATGGTAGGGCACCACTGTAATCCAGCAGTCAGGAAGCTGAGGATTGTTCAAGGATTGCACCTTGAGACCCTTGAAAAAAAAAGTTAAGGTGAAGGGTGTGTTCTCTGGCACTTCTGGGCATTGCTAATGTGACTCCCACTACCTGCTCTTTCTCTGTAACTGCCTTCATGCCAACTGGGTCAAGTTTTGGGGTTACAAGCAGCAGTCAGAGCCGGTAAAACCCCGTTTCTACTGGTGCATGCTGCCCTATGGCTGCTGAGCATGTGCTTTGCTCCTGGTTGCCTCTCCCTTTGTGCTTGGGTCATCTGTGTGTTGTACTCACACCTTTTTTGGCCTTCTGGTGCTGGAAGCTCATCTCCCCCAAGATCCACAGCCCAGGTGTTCCCTGAGGAAGGTCATCTGGGCCCAGTGAGCTCTGGAGAGAAAGGCTGCTTAATTCAGTTTTCATGTCATGGCTTAATTATCCCAAACCAGATAACTCCTGGAATCATATCCTGCTGGAAAGGAGCCTTCTATGTTAATAAATTATCCCCCTTCAAGCCTTTTACCTAATCTTGCCTTGAGGTTATGGTCTAGGCAAGTCACATTCCTAAGGTGGCTCAAAGCTTCATGGCCATTACCATGGTGGCACCAGGAGAGCCTGTACCCCCTTCTGCTACTTCTCTTCTCCAACTTTTTCTCCATCCCTCCACTTAGCCTCCCACATAGGCTTTTCTCCCATCCAAGATTCAGTGCCTGCTTCAGGAAGTGGATGAAGTGGTGCCTGCAGTCAGATCCGTGTCTATCCTCCTGACTTGTGGACGAGAGCCAGAGCTGTTTCCAGCACTGTGAGGGAGCTCCCTTCATATCTTGGTTATTCCGTTCTGGTGTCACTTCTGTGACCATATGTATCCATATCTCACTGCCCTCCTTTCTGTTGGCAAAGCTTATGCTGCCCTTTGCTTACTGACTGGCAACTAATGCTGCTATATGTAAGGCCTACATGGTAACTCTTTCCACAGGCCTCGGAGTTGGGCCACAGCCTGAATGAGAATGTTCTCAAGCCTGCACAGGAAAAGGTATGGATGGCACAGACAGTTAAAGCTCTTGTGTGTCCCACTGAGGCATGGCTGTGTTGTGACAGCCAAATCTTGCGTATAATTTTCTGTGGTCCAGGTGGCCTTGGGCTCCTCCTTCATAGTCCTCCTAGTCTGTTTGCAAGGATACCCCAAGGGTATTGCACTTCCTTCTCTTTTACTTCAGTAGCCTGGCCACAGTCAGTTATCTTCAGAAGGTTATCAGTCCTGGGAGGAGTCAGTAGTCCCCAACCTTCCTCTTAATAGGAGTCTGGTCAGCAGTTGGCTTTGCCAAGAAGGCACAGGTCTTTTGGTAGTGATGAGGTTTATGAAGTTAAAGCCAGATGGGCTCCTGGTTAAACTTGGGGAACTTAATGTGACAGGTGTCTCTGCATTCTGAAGCTTCAGTCTTCCTAACAATTCCCTTTAAATTGAACAGGTGAAGGAGGGAAGGATTTTTGATGATGTGTCCAGTGGGGTCTCTCAGTTGGCATCCAAGGTAGGGCCACCCTGCTGACTTGCAGCACAGCCAAAGCCAGTCTCCATATTCCAGGCATGGAGCCCCGTAGGGCCTTGGGGCAGCAGCAGTGGCTGCTGCCCTCTGATTTCTGAGGGCATGAGGAATATGGAAACAGCTTGGTTGTTGGGGACTTGCCAGCCACTAACATGTGTTTCTTCTCTGTCTTGCTGCCATTGGCCTGTCCCTTGGTAAGTGTAGATGCCCTTGTTAGCTATTGCTGTTCTTGTGACTTCCTGAGAGCCTGGTGTAATGGGGGTGGGGCTGTCAGCTTTCCCAACACGATGACAATGGAGGATGCTTCCTGAAGACTTCCACTGCACTGTGGTAAAGACGAGGCTTGTGGTGGCTCACAGCTCTGAACACCTCCAGAGTGTTGAGTGTGAAATTGGGAAGGACATGCCTTTTACTATTGAGGTATTGACCCACCCACCACAGGAACTCCTTTTGCATAGAAGGGAGTGATGCTCACAGCAAACTAAGCCACCGACAGCCAGTGTTGTTTCAGCGCTGCTGCTCTGTTACTGCGCACGTGTGTGTGTGTGTGTGTGTGTGTGTGTGTGTGTGTGTATGTGTGTGTATGTGTGTGTCTGTATGTGACTCCCATGCAAATTTTGTCTTTAGCAGGGAAACATCTATTTTTGTTCATGTTTTAGAGTCAGAAGTACTATGTAGAATGGGGCCCCAACTTACTTTCATTATCTCCTTCCAGGTCCAGGGAGTTGGCAGTAAGGGATGGCGTGATGTCACTACTTTTTTTTCCGGAAAAGCTGAAGACACTTCAGACAGGTAGTCCATGTTCCCTCCCCAGGCCCTGGGTCCCTTGGGCTCCCTGAGAGAAAGCTGGTTACCTGGCGTAGCACCCTCTGCCTGGTGTTGTGTCATTGTAACAGTTCTTTACTAGAGACACAGTGACTATCCTCTTACCCGCACCATCAGGGCCCCTGGCTCATGGACAGAAGGCTATCTTTTCTTTCCCAGTGCCCTAGTAAATACCCTAATACTCTCCCCCCCGCCTTTTTTTTTTTTCTTGAGACAGGGTTTCTTTGTGTAGTCCTGGCTGCCTTGGACTAGCTGTGTAGACCATGCTGGCCTCAAAAAAGAGATCCACCTGCCTCTGCCTGCCAAGTGCTGGAACTAAAGGCATGCCTGGAAGCACCCTACAGTTTGAGTGATGGATAGGAATGGTAGATTGAGGTAGTGGGAGGCACTCAATCCCTTCTGAAAGGTCCATGTCCTTGGGTCCAGGTTGGAATCTTACCAAGGCCAAGGTAACTCTCTCAGAGAAAAAGGCCCCTCACTTAGTAGGCTGTTCTGACTCTACAAGGGTGGCTAGGGAGCACCTGAAAGGGCAGCAGCCTCTGTTAAGCCAGGAAGACCGCATGGAGCTCTTACGGGCATTGGCCACACCTTGGTCACATAGGCTGGATCTTGTCCTAGAGAGCCCCTGAGACTTGAGCAGGTTGGGCAGCTTGAGGGATGCAGGCAGCACAAGTGTCTTTCTGTGACAATTATTGAGATTTTGTCCCTCTCTGTAATAGACCCGTGGAAGGCCACAGCTACCAAAACAACAGCGGAGACAACTCCCAGAACAGCACCATAGACCAGAGCTTCTGGGAGACCTTCGGGAGTGCTGAGCCCCCCAAGGCCAAGTCCCCGAGCAGTGACAGCTGGACCTACGCAGATGCCTCAACAGGGAGGAGGAGCTCGGACAGCTGGGATGTTTGGGGCTCAGGTTCCGCATCCAACAACAAGAACAGCAATAGCGATGGCTGGGAGAGCTGGGAGGGAGCCAGTGGGGAGGGCAGGGCAAAGGCCACCAAGAAGGCAGCCCCATCCACGGCCATCGATGAGGGCTGGGACAACCAGAACTGGTAGGAGCCTTGCTGCACCTTGACCCCGGCCCTTCTGGGAGACTGCCGTGTTTGCACTTTACCCTCTTGTTCCTCCTTCATTTGACCTCAGTGTGAAGACAGTGGCTCAGGCGGGACTTGAGTTGGTGCTGCCTGCCTGGTGTGGGGTGGCTTTCTCTTAGGCCTCAGCAGACATGTCATCCACCTGCCTCTCAGGTCCTCTGAGCAGCTTCCCTGGACTCTGGGTTCTTGGGAACCAGGTACTTTCTCTGCAGCCCTAAGACTGCAGTCCTGTGTAATGTCAGCCAAGCCAGACATCTGATTTCCTTGAAATGTCTTTTAAGACTTGAAAGGTTTGCTCCAGTTCTTTCTTGAAGAAAATGCCTGGAGTCCTAGAGCTGGAAATGAAGTGACAAAAGCAATACTGGAGCTCACACTGCCACCGACACGCTCACCTAAGTCCACATCATGTGGTCTGTGCTGTGAAACTCACTTTGTGACCCTCTGCCTTTCCTGCATCAGCCTGTCCAACTCTCCACAGATGCTCAACACAAAGCAGATTGGGCTCTTGTCCTCCTGGACACCTGACTTGAACTTGGCCAGCCCTGGACAGCTCAGTAATAAGGAAAAGAGAGGAAAGGGCTGGGAGCATTTTTCAGCCTATCTGTGGCTCCTACCCGGTACCGGACAGCCTGAGCGTGGAAGGTGGGCTGCGGGGCCAACTGCCACTGCCAGGGTCAGGCATCTTGATGGGAACCCTCCATCCAGGCAGAGCACTTGTTAGTATTTTGCCGTGTACTGTGTCTGTGACAGCTCAGGCCGCCTCCCAGCCTGCTCAGGGTCAGAGCACACTTGGTCAAGTCTCCTCAGCATGCAGCTGTCTTTCTAGATTACCCCATTTCCCACCCTGTGGACTTTGTGGAACACCGCGGTTGAGACCCATGTGCTATCAATGGTTGGTGTGACAGCCTTTCCCTCCCAGGATTCCATGACCGCTGTGTGCTGTGGCTGGAGAGACCAGCTGCATCTCTTGTCTCCTTAAACCCACTCCTGTCTGACCCTCAGTTTGACCAGCAGTGCATGACCTGAAGTTCTGTGGTCTGTGTGTTTCGTGTTTGCTCCTACTTTCTGGTTTTGAGCTCTCTGGGCCCTAAAGTCCCAATGTTTGTCCCACCTTGGGGATTCATGGTTCTCTGCAGAACTGATAGGCTTTAGGGTTGGGCAGCTCTTCTGGGTGCTTTGTCCTCAAGTCGACAACACTACTTGGTAGTCAGGTCACAGGACATCTCTGAGCTAGGAAAGCAAGGGGAGATACTCAGGAAAGCAACCACAGGTAGGTAAGATCAGAGGTTAGAAACTTGGAATGAGAAGCCACAGTTTGTGGGAGCACACAGAAAGTCAACCTAAAGCCAAGGAAGTCTGAGCATGGAGGAAGGACCTTCATGGAATACGGGAACATTCCCAGAGCAGAGACCTTGATTCAGTGGACATAAAGTGCTATCAGTGGAATGGAACCTGCATTTGGTTCTGGTCTAGGAAGCTGCCTGCCCCAGGTCACTTAGGAGTGGGAAATCTACCTACAGTTTCTGAATATGGTGCTATGTTCAATAAATAGAGGGACTGTATGTTTTGAGGCTTTTTAACATAATCCAAGGTTCTCCATACCACTTTTACAACCCCTCAAAGGAAAGGGTGAGTAAGGCCCAGGGCAAGTTACTATGGCCTTTGGCTGTTTTTTGAAGCCTGTATATAGGGAACTTGCCAGACAGGCTCCAGGGAGGCCCAGTTAGACTTAAGTCAGACAATCTGGGCCTAGGTGACCTAGCAAGAGACTGAGCAGCCCTGGCTGCCTCTCTAGTTGGTCAGGTAGCTTGGAGAGGAGGTCTTGGACAGGCTCTCAGCCTGTGGCTTGGGTGGACAGCCATTCCTGGATCATGTTAGTAGCCTGGGTGGTGGACTCCTCCGGAAACTCCACGTTCTTGGGGCAGGTGGGGAGGTGGCCTCTGTCCTCCATCCTCTTGACTTTGGGTGGGAGATGGCCAGTGGGAAAGTATGGAGCCCCTGTGTGTGGCCTGCAGAGGGAGATTTGTGAGCCAAGGAGTTCTGATGCAGGGTCTCCCTCCAAGTGTCCTGCACGGAGTTAGTACTTGGTTTGCTGAGATTGATCTTAGCTACTGGCCAGCTGTGGGGGATGCATCAGTCTCTCGAGTCAGGCTTTGCTCCAGACTTCCTGCCCAAAACACCAGCCAGACCAGAGGGGCACTTTCTGTCAACCCTGGTCTTTTGAAACCACCAAGACAGTATTCTGAGTGCCTGCTAGCCATGTCATCACAGTCGCCTTGTTCACTTGTATTGTCACTCCCTCCCTACTGTGGTCCAGGAGGAAGATGAGCAAGCTTGAGGGCACTCCATTTTGGGTTTAGTATGCATGGGTTATGGTATGGATCCCCGAGCATGGGCATTGGGTGTACTCATGACATTGCTAGGTATAGGGGAAGCAGGACCACTGGGCTGGTACAAGGGCTTTCATGGCATTTCCAAGTAGCATGAGGTAGAAAATACAGTGTAGCCCACCTGAGGATCACAGTGCAGAGGAGTGCCAGGTGATTCTCAATGCACGTAGGTATTTCAAGGCTCCTGTGTGTTGTAGGCACACATGCATGTACCCAGAGATTGCTGGGATGACCTTTATCCAACCATGTGAGGGTCTGCAGAGACTGAGCCTAGATTCCAGATTGTGGGGTTTGTTGGGAGCCTTAGGAACAGAGCTAGGATCCCTTCCATGTGCCCCTTGCTTGGTTTTTTGTTATTGGCCAGAGTTGCCTGGGGCCATCTATAGCTCTGGTTGTCTCCTAGCAAGGGTGGTATTGCACAAGGGGCTACTGTGAACAATTGGCAGCCATGCATAGCTTGCAGGTGAGCAAATTCAGCTCAGAGAAGAATATATAAGAAGGAGATAACTGGTAATTGCTGTTCACACAGACATGAATGACCTCTGACCAGGTGGAACATAAGTCATCCAGCCTCAAGAAACATCCCAAGATCTGAGCAACTCAGCAGGGAGACCCACAGGGTCCTTCAAGACAGGAAAGGTTCTAGATCCCCTAATCAAGCTGGGCTGTTGGGCTAAGGGTGGGTAAGGATGAGGATGCCAGGACTTTGATCAGGCTAAGCTAGGGTGGGATGGAGCCAGTGTGTAGTTGAAAACAGCTGAGGCAGCACTGGACTCCCATGGGAACCATAGAGCTGGGGCAGGGGTTCTTTAATCCCAGGCCTGGTCTGCTGAGCCAGCTTGCCTAGAGTTGTAGGAGCTGAGCCCTGGGGTTTCAAAGTATATCAGGAGAGCTTTGCTGAGGGCAGAACTTTCCTAACCCAGGCAGGCTAGAGTGGCTCATGAAAGGAGACAGTGCAGGGGTATCCCAGGTAGGAGTAGTGTGGGCATGGCCCTGCTCCTAGTAAACACTTGTCGGGTTCTTGGGTAAACAGGAAGGAAGGGAACAGAGGTCATGGACCCCATCCCCAACTCTTAAGTGGTTCAAGGTCCTTTCCCCAGATGGGCTGCTGGCAGACTCCTAATGCTGCGTACTCAGGGCCGCACACACTGGCCTTTATTCTCAGGAAGCCTGTTGGACAATCTTGCTGTTCCCTACTGCCTCTGGTGAGACTCCCAGTGTGATGTGCAATGGGTCCTTTGTGCTGGGATCATCATCTCATTTTTGGATACACAATGCAGGCAGCAGCATATAGAGGGGAGGGGAAAAGACTTAAGGGCGGGCAGAGTGGTGACGTCAGGGAAGAGAGCCTTTCTTAAGCCCCAGCCTTGTCACAGCAAGACCGAGAAGTATTGGGACGTGAGGAACACTATTCTTGGAGCAGGAGGTTAGTGATTCATGTATGGCCCTGGGGTGGGGTGTATGAGGGACCACCAGAGAACCCGCTCGGGAAAGACTGGGGAAGTGCTAAGACCCCGGAAGCAGAGGAGCCAAATACGGTCTGGAGACCTAAGCAGGTTCTTCGGATCCTGTGAGGGTCTCAGGTGACATTTGGAATTGTGGGTATAAAAAAAGGGCTAGTGTCCAGCAGAGGGAATCTTATGTTCATTAACTGTGACCACCTTGGCTGTGAGGTAAGAAGGGGTCTGGCTTCAGAATGAGTCTAGGAGGCAGGGCCATTTGTTTGACGCTTTGTAGTAAGGGGACAGTAGGCCATAGCACTGAGAACCTGATGGATGTGCGCGCGCACGCACACACACACACACACACACACACACATATATATATATACTCTAGAGCAATGGTCCCTAACGCTGCAACCCTGTAATGCAGTTCATGTGGTGACCTCCAACCATAAAATTATTTTTGTTATTACTTTATCACTAATTTTGCTACTGCTATGAATCATAATATAAATAACTGTTTTCTGACTGACTTAGGCAATCCCTGTGAAAGGGTCGTTCGACAACCCTCCCTGCCCCCAAGCTCACAGGTGCACTGCTGCTCTTCCGTGTATCAGCCTGCAGCCTTCCTGCTGGTCTAAGCCCTGCTCACCGAGAGCTGGATTTGCTGCAGAGGGTACCCTTGAGCAAAGAGAGAAGTTGTGCAGCTGCAGGTCCTTTGCTCAGTGGGGGTGGCGATCTGGGTTCCTCAGGACTGACTCCTGCCACCTCAGGCTCATGAATTCCAGACTGGGTCACATTTGTGTTCCCTCCTTCAAAGTGCCGCCCCTAGGCAGTGGACTCTTGGTCTCTCTTTCAAGCATTGTCTCCCAACTTCTGAGAGGTCTCAAGGGTTCCCCAGTACTCACCATCCCTACTCAGTGTCTCCTGGTATGCCTGCTTCTGCTCTAATCAGAATTTGGTCTCTCCTATCCCTTTTGCTTAAGGGCAAGCCACCCAATCTGAGGACCTTGATGTTAAGATTCTCTCTACGCCAATCCCAGACATTGTGTGGGGCTGCTGGGGCCTCAGGATCTTATCACTTTTGCTGATCCCCACTGTGTATATCTGTTGTGGATGTAAACACCAGAAGGGGCATGGGCAGGTGTGCTGGACTGAACCTTGCTCAGGGAGAATTGTTTCCTGTAGAGGGTACCTGGAGTACACAGGAGGTTGTGCAGCTCAGGGTCCTGTGTTCAGCAGCACCCCTCAGCATGGCTCCAGTGCTTGTCTTAGATCCTGTCTTCATCAACATCCCATAATGACAAGCCATAGGCCTCTGGACACCATATGTGTCTGTGGGGATATCCTGCTGGTCTGTGGGAATGAGTGGGGAACTAGCTTTCTGGTTGGGGGGGCAGATGGATGGATAAATGGTGAAGGGCTGTGGCCTCTCCTCCCACAGGCTGCTCATTATGAGCCTCCAAGGCTCCCACCTCCACTTCTGCCTCTGGCTGCTGTTGGGCACCACCTTGGCACTGGGGCAGGGACAAGGTAAGGAAGACAATGCTCCCACTGCCTGCAGGAGGAACCCTGCTGCAAGCCTTTGGCCTTCCCTGTAGATTAAACGCCTACTTAAGACCTGTTACAGCAACAGACATGCTGGCAGAACAGAGGTGGAGAGTCCTCATTCTCAGCTTTTGCCTTGACCTTTGGCTCAGTGGTCTTTCAGTCTTGCTTAAGGAGTCTTTTTTTTTTTGTCTCAGCTTTCCCAAGATTACTGGCATACTCCAAATTTTATTCCTGTATCAGTGCTTTGCTTAGTTATTCTGTATTCTTTTCAGTGTGGTTTGAGACAGCACACACAGCCTAGTGGAGAGCAAGACTCCTGCCTCCTCCTTCCTAGGAAGAGAAAGCTTTCCTACACTGTCTTAGACAGTTGGTGCATCCCCCTTCTCTGTACAAGTCTTGGGACAAGAGTTTCCATCTGGTCTCTTCCTATTTGGCCACTCCAGTTACTTCCACTGGGAAGATCTCCCCTAGTATCTTCTCTGGCTTCCAAGGAATATGCACAGGGCTTGGGAAAGGTCTGTGTTGTAGACTCCTTCCTGTGGAGCTGCTGGATCATGTGGGTCCCTGGAAGGCGTGTTTCTGTGTTCACCACAGTATCCACACTCATGACTACATCTAGCTCCCAGGAGCAATATGTATGTTTC